GGGGGGGGGGGTGCGCCTGGGGCTGGCTGTCTTCTGTTGCCAGCGCAAGCGCGCAATAAGTCTAGTAGTAACCCGTAACGCAATCCAATAGTAGTCGTGGCAGCCCAAGTGAGAAGCTCCGGATTGGGGTTGTTGAGTGGAACGCCGTAAAACACCGCGCCATGCAAAGTCTAAAAGCAAATAATGTCATCGTGGTGAGCCGCGTGGTTCTCGTAACGACTGGTGGGTGTGGAGGAGGACCAGTGTGTCGATGAAGTAGGTGGCGTCGGCCAGATGTGTCGAGGTCGGCATCGAACCTCGTGTTATAAGTAGTGTTGGTACAAGAAAGACCGGGTATACTGGTACAGGATGCCGTTTGGTAAAGTCATTAGGTCTTGCGGAAGTCGGAGAGCACAGGGTAGATGAGCTCGAAGGCCTGGTAAATCTCTTCACGGACCTTCGCTCCCGTAAGGACGATCTTGCCGGAGACGAAGATGAGAAGCACAATCTTCGGCTTCATCATGCGGTAGATCAAACCTGGGAAGAGCTCGGGCTCGTAAGATGAGAACATGTGATGGCGGCTGGCGAGGCCCTCCAATCGAATGGGGAACTTGATGTCGCAAGAGCCAACAATGTTCTGAATCTTGAAGTCGGTGAATTTCCTGTTGCAGGTTAGCGGCGCTCATCGCAGCGGATGAGCATGTCGGATGACATACGCATTGAAGCCAAGCTTCTGAATGATGCGAGCGTACTTGCGGCTGGCAAGCTTGCTGTCATCTTCAGATTTGGCACCAGTGACGACCATCTTGCCGGAGGCGAAGATGAGAGCGGTCGTCTTTGGCTCGCGAATACGCATGATGACAGCGGCGAAACGCTTGGGATTGTACTCGGCATTACGCGCCTGTCAAGTGTGAGTTGCGACGTCGCATGAGGGGGTTAAAATGTGCGGGCAGTCTTACGTGGAGCGCAATCGTCTTCAGGTCCAGGCGGCAGTCCAGGTTCACCGTAGCGACAATGTTCTGCAGCGTTGGCACGATGCCACTAACACCCGTGGTCGCTTGCCCTGGCGTGGCAGCCGGCGTCGCGGGAGTCACCCCGTTGCCTTGCGCGGCATTCGCGCCCTGCTGTTGCCCATTCGCACTGTTCTTGCTCATTTGGCCAGCGTCGGAGGAGGGTGGTGTCAGGTGGCCGTTTGCGCCAGGGAAGGACAGCGACGATGGAGCGGTGAACTGCTTGGCCTCGGCCGCGGTGCTCGGGTGCGTCATGTACGCTGTGGACTCCATGCTTGCGACGAGTCGGTTGGTGACGTCTTCGGTGGTGCTCGGGTCGCGCGGGTGTTGATGCGCGACAAGTGCGAAGAGTGCAGCGGTGCAGTGGTGTGTTTGCGGCGGTTCAGATCAGAGCAGACTAATCAAAGTGTCTGAGCTGATGCGCTCGCGGCGGTGAGGTCGGTCGGTTGGTATTAGAGGTGGCGAGGTGCCGTCCAGCAGAGCCTCGTCGCGATTGGCGGTGATGATGGATGCGACGCGAAGGGTCGAGTTGGAGGTAGGTAGGTTGGTAGGTGGTCGCAGTGTTTACCGAGCTTGGCACTGGGTGACTGCGCGCCAATGACAGCGGGCGCAAGAATGCGACGGCCAAAGAGTGAAGGCGCGACGGGGCAACGTGGCAGCAGCGGGCGGCAGGCAGCAACTGAAGAAAGTGAGTCTTGCGACGATGCGGATATCGAGTGGTATTCAGTACGGCTGCTACGGAGGGACTCTGGATGGCACGGCGACGAGAGGAGGTGGGAGAGGAGCGGCAGCCGTTGCGCGGTCGTCGGACTTGGGTCGGGCCAAAAATTCCGCTCGAACTTGGGCTGGGGAAGAGGTCTGCTTAAGTAGTCGTCGCGCGGGCCCGCCCGTCACGCGCCAAGGCAGCAAAACTCGCTGCCCCATCCGCATCCGGCACTAGCGGCTTCCTCCTGAAAAGTCTCTGATTAGGCAGGGGGCCTGCGTTGGCTTTCACTCACTGCGCCTGACGTGCTGCCGCTGCCAGCATCACGCATTCCGCCTTTCAAAGGGCATTGTCTTCTCGCTGCTTGTCCATCGTCTGCTGTTGTCGTCAAAACATCACCGTCGTCGCAGTGCTACGCTGCTACACGCGTCACAGTACCGTGGGTCGTGCATCGGGCGGCGATGGAGATAAGCTTCCTGAGGCTGCTTGCATGGGACGAGACACCTCGCCTGAAGGCGATGACTCACGAAATTTCTGCATCATCCGCGCCACCACCACGACCGCCAACGCCCCAAAGCATACCAACAGCTGGCAATGAGCATGCAACAGACAGCTGTCGACTGCAGCTGCACACCGCGCACACGACCACTCGCGCCCGCCGACACCGACGCCGACGCTTCACTTGTTTGCCCGCCGTTGCTGCAGTGGCGCAAGGTGCCTTTCCGCCACAACAGCGGCAAACCGCGCGTCGCTGGGCCGACTCCGCGATTTCGTCGCACCTTGCGCCGTCTTGCATCAGCGACACCCAGCAGAGATCCAGAGAATTTTTTCTGCTCTCCCGCGCGCTGACCGCACCGTTGCGTGCTTGTGCGACCATGCCCATGTCCACACGTGCTGCCGTCCTCCGCCAAGCGCATGATTTCTGCCTTGCGTCCATCTCCGCACGCGATCATCTCCGCCTTGCGCTGATGCCAGATGGAACATGACAGCTGTTGTGGGGACTGCCACCGCGCTATCACATGCTGCCCACACTGACGCTAGCCGCTTATCGCTTCTCATTCGTCAACCACTTCGTACGGTCTTCAGCGCGGCCGCAAGCCGGACCACAAACCGTGGCCATACAGCGACTGCACAATGCTTTTCGTGCAAAGTGGCACGATAAATTTCTTCCACGATCGGCACAATCTTCGTCACACAGGCGATGCCGGCATGTTCTGGAATCTTGACACGCGTGATCGTACGCTGATTTTCAGCCATTCTCGAATTTACGTTTCGAATGGTGAAAGCTGGCCATAGGTTTCCGGATGTATACCACTTGTCCGCGACACCCCGCCCAAGGTTCCGAGTCAGATCCTATTCCTGTTTGGAAGAAGGCCTGAGACCGCCTCATGCCTCAGTCGTCGGAAACGTGCAAAGCGCCGCAGACATCTATTGATCAGTTCCAGTCCAGGCCGATGACTGGACGCTGAGGATGTGCAGAAACACGTAGCCTGATTTGCGATCGCCAGGTAAGAGCAGGACTCGAATCGGATTATGGCATCATTATGCCACCGAACGCAACGTCAAGTTCTGCGCAACAAGGTTTGAGCAGCTGCCGTATATTTTATCTCAACGACTGTGGCAGAGCACACAATTTTCGAAGCTCTCGAAACTTTGTACGTCCGATCAACTCCGGAGCTCCAGTTCTGCTTGCGCCACACAGCTACCTATGGCATGCTGGAGTTTGTACCTCCTAGGCAGCTACAATTTCGAGGAACTTTGCCGTGAGGTGCAGAATTTCATATTCGATCTACTTCCTGCAATCGAGCTAGCAAAGCATCAGAGAGGCATCAGGTCGAGCTTGGCCTAACGCAACGCGAATTCTCATCGCTCGCAGTTGTCAACTCTCTGGCGTGTACGGCACTCCGGTCTCAACCACATACCCTCATTCGCTCGTGGCTTTTGCGCGAATCACAGGACCAGATACAGACGACAGGGCCCTTGCAGATGGATTTGCATGTGATTGTGCACGTACCACCTCTATGACTTCTCCTCTCATGCAGGATCGCAATCTCGAAATCGACAAGAAGGATTTCGGGCATTCACAGCATGCTCATGAGCGACTCAAAAAACTCAGATTGCGTTGACTGTTCTTTTCCCTGCACACAATCGTGCCGAATGCTGTCGAATACCGATGCTGAACTCCAGCAAAGACTTCAAAAGAGCGTTTCCCTGCAGCGCGACAGCCGCCGCAACAATTTCCATGACATTACGCGCGCACTAAAAGACATACAGATCCTCAAGCACTGCTGCCTTCTCCCACTCCGTCAATACCCGTCCTTCCAGCGCCGCAGAGAACCGCTTCATCGCCCAGTCCGTTTTCAGACAATACCCAAACATATCTCCCAACTCCCGAACGCTATCAGTGCCGTGAATCTCAGCAATCTGCGTCGCCGTACAGCATCCAGCTCTCTTCATCTCAGCCGGCTCACCTCGAAAAAGTAAATCATCGGTGCTCTGATCGAAATGCACCAAAGGCGTGAGAATATGCGGAGGCATAGCGAGCCGAGGCGACGGAGCGCGAGGGATAGGCGTCGAAGAGCCATAAAGCCGTTTCTGGACGATTTCCAAGTACGAAGCACCTAACTCCTCCCTGTCCAGTGGCAGACCCAACTCCTTCAATCCTTCGAGCGTTGTACCAAAGGGCAAGTCAAGATGATCGAAGAAATCCTCCAATGTATCCACTCGAGGCATCATAACCGTTCTGAGAGCGGCGAAGTACTTTGAACGCGCGTCACTAGCATTGATGTCGTCGTCGCTCAAAGTTGTCGTCAATTCAGAATAATACGTTCTGTTATGCGCGTGGAGGAAGAGCATTCCAATCCATCCGAGCACATTACCAATTCCCTCCGCAGACATGTAAGGTGAGTCTTCCCCTTTCTCCATGAGTTTGAATTTGGCCCATTGTGCTGCCGCGCTGTTCACTAATAATGAGTTTTGCAAGGGGTGTTCCCATACTCCTCGACGTATTAAATATGAGAATATGAAGTCTCGGAGGTTTAAGGTGCAGGGGAAGTCGAGGAGGGGGTGGAGCTGTTCAGTGATCCGCGCCTCAGCCCGAGCACGGATGGGATTGAGTATGAGGATACGATTCCTCGGTTCGTCGATCACATCTCGGAGTTCTGTGCATATGCTGCGGGCGAGTTGTACTTCTTTGGCTGAGAGGTTCGATAGGACTTTTAGTTTCAATTCTGGGGGGAGATCGAGAAGGCTGGTCGGCGTGCCGTTATTAGCATTCGGGTCCGTCATAGTTGGAGGGAGATTCTGAGTTGAGCAGGAGGATGTTGATTAAGATAGAATTGAGAAATCTGTGTTCGCTGTTCAATTTGAATTGTTCAAGCTGTCTGTGTTGTGATATGCTTGATAGTGTTCTGGACGAGCTTATATCTCTCTGGAACGCTTGCTGCCAATAGTGAACAGCATCGTCGCGAGACTGGTCTGACCGTGTCTTTGTTTTCCTGTGAATCACTCGCGACAGAAGTGAGACACACGTGCGTGCGACATTGCTATGAGTACGACATGGCTTTGATGTCAAAAGTCCTTGAGAACAGCTCGCTCATGTCTCATCTTATTGTCAGTCGGATTCTAGGCATCTAGATCATACTACGGTCACAGTTCTTGAAGTTATGAGAGCGAGAAGTCAAGAAACATATTTCGAACAAACCGAAATATTTTGTGAGAACTATGTAATTTTTCAAATCTCAGGCATCCCCATCTCCTGGCTTGCTCTACTAGAAACTTCTTCAGCAGACACCAGCCGGCACAGTAAAATCATCCGTGAACACCTCACCCTCCTTTCGTGCATTCTCGCCCAAACCTCTCTTAGCAAAAGCCCTCCAGATCAAACAAATGTTCTGCCCACGCGTGAGCGCACGATCAGCGTCCAAGATTGCATTTCGCGCCTGAATAAAACTTGGATTACAAGGCTGGAAAGCCAGAGCATCAAGCACGAGCTTCATGGCCAAATACTTGCCATCACGAGGGATTCCAGTCCTGGAATCAAGCGAAGGGGTCAGATCATTTGTGTTTCCGCGTGCGTCAACGAGGTTCCAGAAGAGCTCGTAGAGCATTGTGCACCAGACTGTGCCGTACTCGTGAACGCGGCCGAGAGAGTTGAGGGAGGAGTAAGTGTATGGGTTGGTTTGCATGTTGGTGGAGTAGACGAAGGCACGGATTCCGTTGGGTCGTCCGGTGGCGTAGTCGCCGATGGGGTAGTTTGTGTTGCGTGTATCGCGGCGGGTGGAGCGGATGGCGGTTGCGTAGAAGTCGGACCAACCTTCGCCCATGCCGCCGGATTCGAGAGTGGAGAGGCAGCGGGAGTTGGCTGGGCCGCCGGTCATGCGGTTGGTGAGGCCGTGGGTGTACTCGTGGATGACGATGCCGGCTTCGAAGGAGCTGTCGCGGTTGGGAACGGTGGAGTTGAAGCGGTACATGCGCATGCGGCCTTGTTGCCCGTCAGGAGGGGTCGCGAAGTTGGCGTTGTTGACACCGGAGCCGTCCTGGGTATTGAGGATGACAGAGTCGTCACCTAGGCCTCCACGGCCGAAGTTGGAAGTTTGGAAGTTACCGGCAGCTTCAGTGAAGCCAAGAACATAGAGCACATCGCGGAAGTAGTTTGAAGTGTAGAAGAGCTGGATCACGGAGGCCTCGATGTACTCAGCTGGCTCTAGCGATTCACTGAATTCGGCGCGGTAGCGGTTCGAGCGGCCACCTTGAGGACGAGGCTCTTCAAGGAAATCTGCGTCGCCATCAGTGTTGGGCTGGGCAATGGCATTGTTGCCGCGAGTTTCCTGATAGGTCGTGAAGGCGTCCTGGTGCCAGCCATTCGGGCTTCCTCTGCGATCGCGTGGGTTGGTCTCAATCTGGCGCCGATTGCCTCGTGGATCGTTGAGTGGCCACGGGAACACTTGGTAAGATTCGGCGTCGGCGACGTAGTCGGTGACGGCAAGGACAGCGTTGTCGTTGGTTGCATCGACGTAGGTCGTCAGCCAGGAGTCCCCAACGTCGGTCTCGACGCGCCACGCTGAGACGAGCTCGCCTTCTGGTGTGCGATAGTAGACCAACTGTCCGTCTGGTGGCGATTCGACAGCATCTCCTAGACCCTGAACTGTGAAGGAGCGAGCAGTCTCCTCGACCACAATCTCAGCTGCTGCAGGCTCGATTGGAAGGGCAAGAGTGTCAACGACAGTCTCGAGAACTGGCTGTGGCTCAATGACTTCTTCTGGAGCTGGAGCAGCGTCTGGAGTTGTTCCACTGAAGAAAGAGTTTCCATAGGAGAAGATCGTCCCGTCTGAACGAACCTATCGAGGCATTAGCAAGTCGGTTTGATTTGGTTCAGCACAGATGTTCCTGACAACGTACATTAACGTTAAAGTCCGCATCGTCGATGTCCAAGCCATTCAAAGTCTGCTTGAAGTAGACATGCGCGATGCCACTAGCGGAAGTCCAGCTGTCTCCAACTCTTCTAAACTCTGCATCGGGAAATTCGCTCCTCACAAGAGCTTCAGCAGCATCGACGGGGCTACCACCAACTCGGGCGATCGAAGCCGCTGGCTCTCCATCCTCAGCCACGTATGTAGCCCTTTGTCGAGGTCGGAAACGTTCCAAAGCGTCGGCAGATTGACGTTTGTGCATATGATGGGGGTGATCCGCTTCGTGAGAGGTGAAGTCGTCGACAGGATGAGCTACGGCATTGAGCACAAGCAAGCCTGACAAGGCTGTCAAGTGTGAAGTCCTCATGGCGGGCAGCAAGAGACCAGAATGTGGATTTAGGCAGAGAAGGAGGCGCTCTTTGGCTGAAGTTTCGAACTTACCACATTTTGAGATAGGGCATGCATTTATATATACATGCTAGAGCCTATTCTCGCCGCTCAGCATCTCTGCTTCGCCTGCAAGGCGGGTCAAGAAGCCCAGAAGCGTGCCATTTCGGCCTGCGCATCCATATTGCATTCGACCCCGCAGTCTTCTCGAAAGGCAGAACCAACGGGGCACGCGCGCAATTGGGCTATCAACTTGATAGCGTGATGTTGCAGGAGATAAAAATCGAATGAAGCGTCTTGGACGTAGACTGCTTGCTTGGCGGCGGCACGGCATAATACCCTAAACAGTGTCGATGCAACGCTGTCTGCACGTACTATTGACTGTGAGAAGTTAGCGAAGAGAGAACTGTCAGATAGCGAGTTATTTCGGAGCGGTTGTAGGTGAAGTGGCATGCCGTTTGCGCTCAGCAGGTGTCACGAAAACGGCAGGAGACGAAAGCCACCAGGCCGTTATAGGCAGGCAGGAAGGCTCATTAGAGTCTTGGCGCAATGTCCAAGAAAAGTCCAAGACGGAGTCAAGATTGACGACGTCTCTGCAGCGTGAACGCAACGTGAGAATTAGCTCCTCCTTCCTCGTGTGAACACAAGATCGCCATGCGCTACGATGGACCGGATGCCAGGGGTTCGCATGGACAAGGGCTTATCAGCAGCCACAAGGTCATGGGACACTCCACTTGTTGATAGCGCGGCCGATCGCTATAGCACCCGCAAGATGCAGCTCGAAATAGTCAAGAGAGGAAAGAAGGAGAAGGCAAGGTCTAATATCCTACGTGTGGTGAGTGAGGTTCAACTACTGTTCGTTGACTTACATTGTATCTAAGCCATCTGCAAGCGATCCGTGTTGCTGTGCATGAATTCTGTCGCCTCCCTTATGTGGATGATCACCAAGGTTGCTCGAGTGAAGATGCTGTAAGTCGCCTGAGGGCGCCTGAAAGATACTGTGCCTCGCCAGTCCAAGCTAGACAGACGCAGCACGCAATGCTTGCAATCGCTCAATCAAGCCCATTGAGCACCGCCTCTGCTGCTCCGTACGCCGTACTCTCGGCATGCTCTTCCGCCTTCTTACGACGGAACTCTTCGAGGTACTCGGCTGCCTTTTCGCCAGAGATCTCGGTGAAGTTGCTATTCTTCGTGGCACTGCCTGTGCTCTTCTTTCTTCGCGAGTTCGTCGTCTTCGCTGCGCCGAGTGTGGGAAAAGCCTCTTGGTCTGCTACGTCCAAGTGCTTGGGTTGCGGCTTAGGCAGACTTTGCTTGCGTTGCTGCGGCTCACCAGTCACAGTGCTGTCCGTGTCCTTGTGTCGCTTCCCTCTAGTGCCATGACGCTTCTTCTTCTGCGCCAGCACTGCTTCCTCGTCTTCGTGCACGAGCTTGTTGTTCTCGAGAATTTCCAGATGTACTTGCTCCAACTCCTTCTCATCCTCTCCGGGCTCGATCAGCTTATCGAACAAGTCGCCCTCCTGAGACGGCTGCCCGTGTGGACCTTGCCCTACACTCATGAGGATGCGATAGGCACGTCGAAACTCATCGCGAATAGCCACAATGCCGTTGTGCGTAACAGTTCGGGCGACATTGTGGCTAAGCTCAAATGGGTCTTCGATGCAGAAGAGGTAGCGATGCTGGATTTTCTTGCCCTCGCCTTCTTCAGTGGTGGCCTTGACCCAGCCCTTGGCCTCCTTCGTCATGATCCCGCCAGGAGTGCGAAGGGAAAGTACTTGCTGTGTCCACCGAAACTGAGGACCGTTGCCCATCGAAGAATAGTACTGGAAAAAGCCGGCAAGTAAAGAACCCAAAGATTCAGCATTGGAACTCATTTGACCATTGTGCAAAGCAGCCTCGATCTCTTGCTCGTTGCGCCAAAAGTCAACAACCCAGCCATCAACTTCAGTCCTGGAATAACCAGGCGGTGCACAGTTGGGATTCGGGCGCCAGGGCATCTGTAGGTTTGGCAGAACGGGCGGCTGCACCACGTTCACGAGATAGTGTAAGACCATCAGCACGTAGCCATAACTCGATAGCGTGCCTGAATAGGAGCTGTTGATCTTGCGTAGCTTCGCGAAAGACTTGACGAAAAGTACCATGGGTCGGACGCGTGGGTCGCATTTCGAGTAGCAGCGCAACATCTGAGTATTGTGTAGACCGAGGGGGTTGAAGAAGTTGATGTCGCATTGAATACCAATACCGTCCTTTGGGAAATCGAGTGGCCCTGCCTTTCGCTCCCGTGTCCACGATTTCTGCTGCTCACGCCGAGCTTGGGCAAGTTGTTGTTGTCCATTAGTGTTTTCCTCAACAGTGGCAGTTGCGGTGATGCTAGCTGCCTGCTTCTGTACAGTCGCTTCATCGCCGTTGGTAGTGACGGCCTCGACCGTCACTTGGGTTGTGACCAGTTGCGCATTTTCCGCGCCGGCTTGGACAGTCTTTGCTGAGCCATCGATGGCTCGGGTAACATCATCTTCCGCGACTTCATCCTCCTCTTTGTGAAGATGCGGATATTTCTTCTCATTAGGGAGAAAATCCCACTTCTCTCGTTCTATGCGAAGCTTGTCGAGCAGACTCTCGCCCGGATCCTGGCAGATTTTGATAATTGGCACACGAGTCCGCGTCAGCAGACGTGCGCCAAAGCCGACCTTGAGGAGCTCTTTCTCAAGTGAGCGGGGCAGATCGTCCTCGAACATAGAGAAAACAGCTTCCGTGGAGTTGGGATCTTGCACGACTATAGCCAGATCCATGTCGGAACCGGCGCTGGCGAAACCAGACTGGAAGCTGCCGAAGCATTCGAGCGATATTTTAGGTAGACGAGGATTGGCCGTGCACACATTGTCGCAGACGCGCTGTAGCGCTACGCGAAACTGCTCCTTCTCATCGCGCTCAGACTGACTCATTTCTACACTGGGCACCTCTCTGCTTGCCAGGTCGTCTAGATACTTCGCTTGTCTCTGGCGCAAGATGTCCCTGGTGGTGAAGTTTGACTGCGTCTGCCGGGCGTTCGGATCGTAGAGATTACGCGCGCCTTGCTGTGGTCGAGTCTGGGACTGCACCGGGCCACCACGTTGGAAGGCATCTGGATCTAGTTGAATCTGCTGGTTGCGCTGCTGACGAGGCGCGCCGTTACCTCTGCCATTGCCACGTTGATTGCTTGGAGGCCCATGAAATCCTCCCCGAGTCTGGCGGAACCCTGGCGGCGGTGGTGGAGCTGGTACAGGCGCCATATGTTGTGCGAGATGCTCTGGTGGCGGAGCATGGCGTAAATGGGGCGGCAGGAATCCTGGAGGTGGCATCGGCGGACTTGGCGAAGCCATAGGCGGGGGAAACATTGAGTGACCAGACATCGGACGAGGAAATCCGTGACTCGATGGAGAGCTTGGTCCAGAACTGCCACTGCCGCTCATGAGTCGTTGATGATGGAAGCTGCCGTTCTGCGGCGGTGGTGGATACTGAGGTCCGTAACCTGGCGGAGCCATTGGAGGAAGGCGCACTCGTGGCCTCGAGTCGTTCGGCACATCGTCTGGAACGGATCCGTTGAGCAGAATCATTCTACGAAGTCTGTCCTCCAAGTTATTGGCATCCTGCTGAGGCGTGGATGGGTCCATGTTGACGGCTGTCTTAGCTCGAGGCGCTTGAGATGCTGATCAGCCTAAGAGCTGAACCATGCGCGCTTGGTGATGGATGGAGTCGTGAAGGGCTTCTTAGTCCATCGCGGGGGACGAGATTGCTTCCAGCAAACGGCGCAGCTCGACCGCCAAAACCGACTCAGGCACCTCCGCCTCCGCCTCCTGCATCGAACTGCGTTGTGAGTTGTCGAGGTTAAGCAAGCGGGCCAGACAGAAGGCAGAAGTGACGACAACCAGGCTCGGCTAGCGCGAGTGCACGTGCGTCGGTCGGCGGCAGCCTTGAAGCCTTGCCGTGACGTGCCTGGGGACTGGAGCTTGTGAACAATGACCAGCGCGCAACAATAGACGCGACGTCCACCGCCTGCATTCCTCTCCCGCTGCGCAGCGCCGGAAAGACAATACCATCGCCGCCATTCTCTCACGCCGCCTCACCACCCTCCCGTACATGACCTCGCCCTGTGTCTCCTCCGCGAGTTGCTGCCAACCCGCCGCTCACTGCAACCATCAACGATGAGCAACTCGCCCGCGCAGCCGCCTTCGGGCCTCAATTCGGTCACGCCCAATACAGGCGGACCAGCTGCGCCTATCGTTCGCAAGCGTCCTGCTGTCAATATCTTCAACAACGCTTCAAAGAAGAAGCCTGCGCGAAAGCCAGCACCCACAGGCCAGAAGGCCGCGGCAACGACAGCCCCGGCGCATGCCACCAATGGACCGCATCCCTCTTCATACCACCAGCCGATGAATGGCATCGTCAGAACTGGACAGACGACGGCGCCAGCGAACGATGAGCCGGACCCCAGCACTTACGCCGAGTACCCCATCACTATCACCAAAAGTCAGCTTACCCAAGGTTTGCGATACCATGCCATGAAGCTTCAGAGTAAGCTGGACGCGACCGGCAAGCCTATCGAGGTAGACCCCTACGACGAGGACCAGTTTCCCCGTCCAGCGCGCCTGCATCGTCGGTTCGCGCGCGACAAGATGGAGTCGTTCGAGCAGTCAGAAGTGGGCTCCGGCGTGGATGACAAGGAACGCGAGCTGATGAGCATTCGTCGCGCGGAGCGTCAGGCCGAGCGCGAGGAGAATCAGAAATTGATCGCACCAACTGGAGGTGATTCGAACAAGCCTACGAAGAAGAAGCCACTGAAGAAGGTCGAAGAGGGCAGGGACGAGAGCAACCCAGTCCGTCAGAAGCGCTCGCAATTGCGCTATGAGGAAGCGCGACCATGGCACCTGGAGGACTACGAGGGCAAGAATGTGTGGGTGGGCACGTACGAACAAGCGCTTTCGGAGCGGAGCATAATGCTTGTCGTGAGCAATGAAGGCACATTTGAGATGGTTCCTGTGGAGAAGTGGTACAGGTTTCAGCAAGCGAACAAGGTCAATGCTATGGACTCGGAACAGGTCGAGAAATTCATGACCGCAAAACATATGCCTGGCCGATGGGCACTCGGAACGCAGGCCGCCACAGAGCAGCTCAAGAAAGAGGCACTGAAGAAACGCATAGAGGCTATCCGAAGTGCCGGGGGTGATTTTGACGCCGAAAGAGACACGCTGGACATGGACTACAAAGACGAGTTTCAAGACGATGACGAGGGAATGCTTTTTCAAGCTGATGACGGCGAGGACGCTGGTGAAATCGAGCGCCGAATCTATTTGGAGATGCGTAACGCTGGACTAGGGGGCACGGGAGTGAAGAATGAAAATATAGATGTGGAGGCGGAGCAACATCGCGAGCAGATGATGCGACTGGAAGAAAAGAAGAAGTCGAAGAAATTGCGAAAGCAGCTTCGAAAACGAGAGCACCAGGGCCAGTATAGCGATGACTCAGACGACGACCCATATGCATCTTCAAGCGATTCTATGGACTCCGAGGAGGAAGCAGAGGAAGAAAAGCGAAAAGCGGAGGAGGCCAAGAAGGCCGTTACCAACGGCGACAAGTCCGGGGCCTCGACAAAAGGCACCAATACGCCTACTGGTAGACCTGAAAAGCGCGATCCAGCACGACTGGGAGCGAACCTCAAAAGACCTGGCTCACCCGACAACTCAGATCTCAGTGGGAACGAGTCCTCTCGGAAGAAAGTCAAGAGCATTAATGGACGTGCTGTCTCTGCAGCTCCGAGTGCCGCTCGCGCATCTTCGGTAGATGCATCTAGAGCCAAAGTGCCTCGTGCAGGTGGTTCGGGGTCTGGTAGTGACACCGACACTTCTCGTACTGGCCGCATCAAGCTCAAGCTGAAGAACAGCCCGCCTGGATCGCCCTCGACTGCCACACCCGGCGGCTCACGGGCTGGTTCGCCGGCAGCGAGCGGAACGGCAACTCCCAATGGCAGCACACCTTTCCCGACTCTAGAGGAGGTGCGCGCTTCGATTCCTACGACTGGAATTGCTATGAAAACACTTGTTTCCAAGTTTAAGAGCAGAGTGGGGACCCGTACAGCGGATTTCATCCAGCTGGTCAAGAAGGCTGGACAGTTGTCCAAGGATCCAACAAAAGCCGGCCTTATCGAGCTCAAGCCAGGAGCTTAGGAACTGAAGCGGAAAGCTTTCAATTGGCAGAGCTTCGAGACTCGACACTGATTATTGAAGGAGCCTTCTGAGTGATAATGAATCGCTCGAGGGTCTGCTGTTGGGTCTGTTAAGGCGACTCCGACAAGTATCATCGTGCAGAAATTGAGACACCCTGCTGTTGACATGTTGTTTGCAGCCACATTCTGCATTCGAGCTCGAGCGGAATGGTCACACCAGTCAAGCTACCGAGACTTCAGCGGTCTGATGCACCCACATCGTGTCACCGTGCTCTGGAGCTTGAGCTTCAAATTTCTCATACACCATGCGTAGGTAGACCTCAAACGAAAATGGGAAACCAGAAAGGGCATGAACATGTGCGATTACGCTATGTGTACTCCAATATTTGCTTCCCTCTTCTTTTTTGCATTCCCTTATGATCCTATCGGGGTGACACTATCCGCCGTGCTACCTGTTGACGAAGCTGCATAACGTTCAGGATATAGCAGATGCAAGCTTGTCTCCATCATTGCCAGAGCTTGCCCGAATATGTGCGACCAACACTGCGTTCGGGATCCATCTCCTCACTCCTGTCCTGATGAACACGACGCGAGGCGAGCTGGAATCCTGCAAGAGAATGCACAACGAATATCAAAAAAGACAGACGGCAAATCCATTCACCTTGGACAAGACACAAGGATGCTGCTGCAAGGGGATCATCACGACGATGGGAATCCTCCAATTTTGGCTTCCGGCATCTGCAAGTCAGTGAAAACCAGTAATCGCACGTTGCTTGCATCGGAGAAGCAAGCTTGGCCATGGTCTTCACAATGCTTGTGAGCGCCGTGCTACACAACAACAGTCTCCATTCTGCACCACGAACACACTTCCAGGTGGGGACCCGATCTGATAGCCACGCAACCACAATACCGCCGCTTCCATCTGCGTGCATGCATGTATGCAGGATTGTTTCAGTCCGGCCTCGTGGCCTTTGGTTCTCTTAGAGGCACTCTCGTCTGGAAGAGATGCTGGTAACAGATTCGTATGGCTCGGAGTTTGTTTAAAGCAGTATATGTTGGCGTGGACGGTCATGATACGAACGGAAAACAAAGAGCGATCTTTCTTCCGCTTAACGACCACCACAACAGTCAAAAGAGTGCAGCGCTTCATCACTTTGAGCACGATTCTTCTCTTTGTTCTCTTCTCAACACTCACAACCTGTTCACCCGTCCACCAAGCACGACAAACCATTCTCAAAACAACCTACGTCTACACAGCCTATAGCACCCTTCCTGCAACGGCCACGAAAGCTCCAATACAGAACATCACATGTCCCACTATTCCTGTTTCGTCGGAAGCTGGGTGCCCGACGGTTTGTACGGCTGTTCCTTGTGCAGGACTTTTGGGTATCGCCACGGATAGATTCGATTGTGCTGTGGAGATAGCTAATCCGGTGTGGACGAGTTGGGAGGCGACAAGTACGTGTGCGAGTGGGAGTGCAGTGCATGACTTCACGGAATGGGGTGGACATGCTGTTGAGAGGTGCAAGGCTACTGAGGTTGCGACTGCTGGCGGTGTGGCGAAAATTTGAGGGTCCTGGGCGGATTACAAGAAGTAGGAGAGGGATAAGGCTACCAACAATAAATGGTGTTGACAGAGGAGAACGTGAGTGACCAGAATACGCATATTGCATAAAGTCACGTTTCTCGCAGATGGTGAAGTAGCTGGCTAGAGGTCTCAGAAATGTGTTTAGATTGCGGGAGATCTATAAGTCTCTTACTGCTCACCTATTGTGATGAACATGCCTCTTTCTCCAAAATTATGTTGCGTTGCTTTGGTCGCCAATTGGTAGAACCGCCTCCAGTCCTCAGCACAGAGCTGTAGAGCGGCGGTCGTGCGGCTCATAATCCCAATCGGACAATGATATCGTGCATTGAAAACATCGCTTTCTCTCAAGGTTCCTCCAGCGCGAAGTCGGCAAATTCGAGCTGCTCGTGTAGACTGGCTGCACAGCCTCCTGTCCACTGAAGATCAACTCCACTCCTCTTCCTTTTTCATTCGCCCCCTGCCTGCTCCGCTAATCGTTCTTTCTTCGGCGACCACGCCGTTCCAGTCCTCACAATACATTCCGCTTCCTCCATAGCCTATCAACAAAATCAGTCAGCTCTGCATACATAACGATTCTTCAACACTTACCCGACGCTCACTATCCCAGAGCCCAAACCACACCCTCATCCATCTCTCCAGTGTCCGAGACGACTCTCGCCACACACTGTCTTCTGAGTAATACCACTGAACAACATTCTTGTGCACCCCCGGTGCTTCAGCGTCGTAATCATTTTCTTCAAGATACTCGTGATGGGCAGGATCGATAGATGCAAACCACACCCTGTACAAGTCGTCTTCCGCGACCCAGATTGTTGTTGCGTAGTGGCTCCTTGCAGCGGTGGCACGAGTTGCGCGAGAGACTTGCATGATAGCTGGTGGTTTGTAGGCTCGAGTTAGCTTTGTGATGGGTTCTGGCTTGTCGGTGAAAGTCAGTTTTACGATTGAGTTGTAGAGTTCCTGGGGCAGCGACTCGAGCAGGTCGCGCAGGTTGCGCGTTTCTGTTGCGGACATTGTGGGGGAGGATGATGAGGAGGATGAAAAGGTGCTATCTTTGATGAGGAGGATAGGTATCCGTAGAGAAAGGCGGAGTGAGATATTGTACTTCTAGTAAAGGTCAGCTTTGGTTAATAGATCCGGCCCGACTGATCGATCATTCACTTGTTGAAGTGAATAACGTGAGGCACGTAAAGGTAACGCAATTGGTCCAACAGCTGACAATGCAGCTGACTTCTTCGATTGAGTACCATCGTCCTACTATCCGTCGTCTATCTCATCATATCTTCTCATTTGGCTGGGTCGCAGGTCGATCCGCTACGCTAGCAGTCTCACTCGCAGGATCCGTCTTCTCCGAGTGCGCACGAGCATCAAGCTCATTCATCGCGGTCTCCTCCCTGTCGTAGTGATGGAAGATGATCCAGACAACGATTGCAGTGATGAATGAAGCCACTGAGATGCCTGTGTACATCCACATGATCGCTGGATCTCCCGTAGCAGGAACTAGGGCCTCGCCAAGGGCGGATCCGATGGCGTTCGTGAAGAGGTAAAGCGACTGCACGAACGATTTCATCGAAGGAGGAGCCTTGGTGTAGGCATATTCGAGACCAGTGACCGAGATGAAGATCTCAGCAAGGCCGATGAACACGTAAGCTGGAGTTTGCACAGCAATGTGAAGGTGGTTCGGAAGTGGTGTTTCTCCATCCATGCCGGCCGGACAGTGTCCAGGTCTGCCATAGCAAGGACCCGCGGAATAGATCAGGTGCTGCACGATGGCTGCGTAAGCAACGCACAGCGAAGCCAAGACGAATCCAATGCAGATTCTCGCGATTGGCTTTAGTTCGATGTGCATCTTGCGAAGCGCTGGGTAGACAAAGCGATCCAGGATAGGAATGAAGACAATGATCGAGACTGGAAGTGGTCAGCATTATGTTGTTCCGGAATCTGGATATGATTCGTCGTTTGAAGGCGTGTCAATGGCCCCGGGAAATGTGACCGTGGATACCTCTGTATGCAAAGACCTCTGAGTGCAAGCGCCTAACCAGATTGGCTCTCAGCCCATGGAAAGCTTTGCTGATTGGCTTAGCGACCTGCGGTTGCACTCAGAGGTAGTTGCATTCAGAGGCATCCACGCTTAATCGACTTACTTGGATCGAAATTTTGCATCAGATCGTTTGGCATGCCCTGGGAATCTGGTCAGAAAATAAAACAACAACTCAGACTCAACCGTTTCGTACGTGGCCCTCCATTTGTCCCGCTTGGCTGACGAAATTCGATGAGAACTGTCTTCACAAAGCAGTCAGTGGAAGATATCGCAATGTCTGAGACAAAGTTCTTCGCGAAGTGAAGATGCCTTGCCGCGACCAATCTTACCCATATATCACCCAGAATACTGGATAGAAGCAAAAGACCTTGCACGCACGCAAGGCCCGCTTGAGCTCGTCGATAAAATGATCATTCCATGCGACTGCCTTCGTCTTCCCATTCGCTTCACGCCAACTTGGTTTGGCAGCGCTAGTGTTGCGATTGACGATCATGATGCCAATAGCCTTGAATGCATCGGTAATGATCGATCCCTGAGGTGGTCTGTCGATGTATCGGCCACGGCAAAAGACCAGCACGGCCACTCCGACGCAGAACATGAAGAAGCACATGAGGTATGCCGTCCAGAAGCCTTCGTACTTCTCCATGAATGGTGTAGCGAGTAGCGAGAGACAACCGATATTAATGCAGCCGTAGAACATCATGTAGATCCGTTGGTAGGTGATGGCCGGGTCAATAACCACTCGCTCTCCGCTTGGCAAAGTCTTAATGGCCATAAGACGCCGAGTGTATTGGTCGGCGATTAGAGGAGCAATGTTGGACTTGATACCTCCTGTACCAAACGCGATCACACTACAATATCAAGGTCAGCATACTGCACTCGCTTTCAGAGATGGTTATTGTCGTACACAAGAGCAGTCACGTATCCTCCTAGCGCATGGCCACCCTCGATCGATGTGGGCAATGCCGTGGTCCATAGGATGACTAGTCCGCACCAGTATACGCCAGCAAAGATGACAATGGTCTTGTACTTCCCGAGATACTGATCGGAGATAATGGCACCGATTATAGGCGTAACGTAGCAGAAGAATTGGAAGAAGAGGTTCAGACCAGTGGCTCCAGCATGGCCGAGACCCAGTCCACGGGGACCATCCTGGCCCCCTGGTCTGTTGTTGATATAGTTCTGGAAGAGGCCTTGACAGCCGTAGTCTGTATCATAGTTAGTACGATGTCTACTCCCCAAAACTTGCTACATGGAGCCTGTGTTGTGTGAGGATCGCCAGAGTGACCGCCAGAGTGACCTACATGTAAAGCGTTCGCACAACTCCACCGCGGCGATCAGGTATGCAGAAGCTGGAAACTTGTCCCCAATATGTCGCAGAGTCTGCTTCTCGTACTCATTTGGCTCGGCATCGTCTGGAGTCTGCTCGTGCTGGTGTTCGGCATCAACAGCAGGTGCTTTCTCGTGTTCCACAATCGGGAGCTTTGCGCCAGTCATGTCAACCGAAGCGGCTCTCCCCCCGGTTGTGCCGCCGATAGAGTTCCTGCCGGACGTCTGCTGAAGAGTGGCGTGCAGCTCCGCTGCGCCGTCTTCGTGGTTCATGACTGCTAGCGGAGAAATGAACGCTGGGTGTGTTGTGGTCGCGAGGAAACACAAGGAGAGAAGCGCGAGAGAAGTGGAATGAGATACTTATCAGAAGTGTAGACTCGGTTGCACGAGGTGGGTGTCACTATGCGGTACCTTCACGGCCGTCTGCGACGATCCGGCAGCGCGGAAAGGAAGCTCGTGTTGTTCTCACGCGACAGATTGTTGCTGAATGCAGGATCTGCGACTGAGCCGATCAAAGCTGATCGCAGGTTGACCGAAAAGTGAAGGCGTCCGAGGAGGAAGGGACATTGATTAGGTCACGGACATCGTGATTGGTTGCCAAGGCGGATTGCGGATCAAGCAAAGCGAAGCCTTTTGCAGTGGAATGTAACGCTTGCATGGAGCGTTGCTTGGTCACTGCCGAGAGCATGCTTGTTGCAGACAAGACGGCCTGTGCGGTGCGTGGCAGTCACGCTGCGAAATGCCACAGGTCGACCGCAAAGACTTCGTTGCGAGGTTTTGCCGCGCCGCTTCTGCAAATTCTGTGTGAGCGGCGTCTCTGAGATCTGGCGAGATGGGACCAGAGTTCACCGGCACAGCCTTCGGCAGGGCATCGTCGCATTGGTCTGAGAGCAGCGATGGGCACACGGCGGACCTGCTCACTCGCCTGCGCACTCCTTCCCATCTGGAGATGCAAGCTCGAGCGTTGTGGGATGCTTTTTGGGCTTCCTGGCAGGTGCTGGTGTGGGAAGCCAGGCCAAGGCTGCTCGGTCACTGCACGACGAAGCTCAGCCATCACCAGCAGTGCTTTCCAGGACGAGATCATCTATCGCCGAAGTTTGCTGTGGATTGCCATGATATGAACACCTGACTGCCCTAGGACGATTGAGAGCTGTTCCAGCATCGCAATGCACGCAGATCTGCTTGGGCTACGGCCAACTCAGACTGTAGCGTGGAGCACAAGATCATATCTTCCTCTCTTCGGCATCGCTGTGGATCGTGCTGGTTTCGAAGAAGACTCATCTGCTACCAAATTCTGCCGTGGCATCTCGCTTGCAACCAGCCCACGGTGACAGTCGGTTGTCGCACATTTCATCGTCGAGTACTGCACCCAATGTGTATCAAGAGATGAACAGTGACCCAGTCAAATACAGCAGACTTGATGAACATGATGTTTTACCGCGGCCAATTATGGTTTATTACATAAGCTGACAAGGGCTGTTAACTCGAAAGTCTCGGCCGAGGAGAAAGGAAACACGAACTTTCATATGGTGCAATGCTAAGCAAGATGACACAAACCTCAGGCAAATACACGTCCCCGCAACGAGCGAGCAGCGAACATCCGCAATTGAAGAAGCTGGATCCGAGATGTCCAGATTCGCCCAGCCGCTAACGCAGGTGGTGAGGCACTTGTGCCAGACCGATATTCTGCCTCCTCTTGCCGGCCCATTTTACGGGACTTCACTTCGCCTACGGGCAAAACCTCACCAGCAATGTTCGTTCTTTGCCATGAACTAAAACCCCACAATAGGTTCCCTATCGCTTGCTTCCGACGATAGCGTGATAGTGCTCAGTCCGACAACGGAACATGATGAGCCCGTAAGTACTGCGCCTCTTTCATATACAACGTCAAGCCGCAATTTGGCATCATTTCCATCTTCTTTGCTCAAATTCACGATGCGTAGAGTAGCCACTTGGTTGGCCCTGAGCCAGCAAGTTCTTGCTTCTTCGGCTACACCTACTGTCAATCTTGCAGGATATGGCTCGTTCCGCGGACTCGCAGTCAATGCATCTTTGACGAACGACACGCTGCCAGCTCCTGTTGATGCTTGGCTTGGCATTGACTATGCTGAGCAGCCAGTGGGCGAGCGACGATTCACTCCCGTCGAGTCCAGGCCAGCGGCATTCAATGGCACACGAGCCGCTACGACATATGGAAAGATCTGCGTGCAAGACCCGGCAGGACTGCCATATGAGCAAGACGAAGCATGTCTGAGCTTCAACGTCTTCCGTACAGCAGGTGTTCCGCTTGAGAAGAAACTTCCGACCTTGGTCTGGATTCACGGTGGTGGCTTTGTTCAAGGCTCTGCTCGAAGTCTCGATGGCGCTTCTTTTGCTGCTGCATCTAAGGAACCTATCGTGGTTGTGACATTCCAGTACCGACTCAGCGCTCTTGGCTTTCTCCCATCTGCGCTGTTCGAGGAAGAAGGACTTTTAAACCTTGGCCTGCGAGACCAGCACTACTTCTTGGAATTTTTGCAAGACCACCTCAGCTCTTTCGGTGGCGATCCAAAACAAATTACTCTTGGTGGCCGCTCTGCTGGAGGCCATTCAACTGGTATTCACTACTTCCACAACTACGGCAGTGACACTGGAAAGCCACTCTTTGCTCGTGTCATTCATCAATCTGGCGCCGTCACCGCTCGAGCTTTCCCCGACTCCAGCTTCCCACAATACCAATCAGACTTCAAGCGTTTTATGGGAGCTCTCAACTGCTCGACCAACTCCAGCAATACCGAGGCTTTGAAGTGTCTCCGCTCCGCACCGATCGACATCATTCGATCCGAGAGCTCTCAGATGTACACCGATGGCGCACACAACATTAGCTGGCCTTTCCAGCCCACTCTCGGCGGTCCACTCCTCGAGAAACCTGGATCAGTCTCTGCTCGCGATGGCACATTCTTCCATGTGCCAGCAATCACCTCTCACGTCACCAATGAGGGCAAATACTATACACCAGGGGATCTGGAGACCAACACAGAATTCCTCGATTTCATGCGCCAAACAAGCCCCTTCCTCAACGAAACCGATATCTCGCTCATCGAAGATCTCTACCAAGACCCAATCTCTTACCCGGAAACTTCTCCTTACACTAACTCGCCAAACTCAACACAATACAATCGTCTCTCCGAAGCCTGGTCGGATTACGCTTACATCTGCCCGAGCAGAGAGACGGCCGAAGTTGTTTCGAATGCTGGCGTTCCGATTTGGCGTTTGCATTTCAACACGCCGGACACGCCTCTTGAATATGTTCCATGGCGCGGGATTCCGCACACTTCGGACACAAGATATACGTGGGCGTCGAAGAGGACGGCTTATCCTGTGACGGGTGATATCTATCATGCGTACTTGGCAAGTTTCGTGACTACGGGGAACCCGAATACTGCAAGGTGGCCTGGAACACCGAAGTGGCCAATCTATGATGCTAGCAAGGGAGCGGAAGCGCTGCAGTTGTTGGTCAATCCAGGAAATAACACTGTTGTGGAGAAGGATAGCTACCGCAGAGAGCAGTGCGATTTCTGGAACAGTGATGAGAGAGCTGGCAGACTTAACAAGTAAACTTGTCCAGGAACGAGAATTGTCAAATTGCTTTCAAGCTATTCGAGATACTTCTTTCCAGTCAGCTCATCGATCAGGTCAAACATCGCATTACCTCCCATCCAACCTCCCTTGTGCGATCCGGCAACACCTCTCGTGTATTCCGCTTCCTCCTGCGAGATCTTGACAGTCTCTGTACCACGCCCACTCGCAGCCGCATCCGCGAGCAAATTCACATGACAGCATTTGTCCAGCATGTAGAACCAATTGACAGCCTCTTCAATCGTCTGTCCGACGGTCAATAGGCCATGGTTCCGTAGCAGGGCAGCTTTCTTATCTCCTAGTGCAGCAGCGATATCTTGGCCTTCATCGGACGCGAGAACGACACCTTTGCCTTCGAAGACAACATGATCCTATCAACGCAGCTCGTCAGCTTGAGCGGATAGGAGGAGATAGAACGTGCTCGACTTACATCATAAAAAATACAAGACTCCAACGAAATCGTATCCAACTGCTTCCCCAACGCACAAAACGCACGCCCATAAACCGAATGCGTATGCGCCGCACACATAACATCCGGTCTCGCCTCATGAATCGCCCCATGAATCAAAAACGCAGCTCGATTGAGAACCTTAACCTTCCCATGATCCAGAATATTGCCTTGATGGTCTACGCGCAGCAGATCACTTCGCTGTATCAAATTGAAGTCTACGCCAAAAGGGTTCACCCAGAATGTGGTTGGATCAATAGGGTCGCGGACTGTAATGTGGCCAGCGAGACCTTCGTTTAAGCCAAAGTGGCCGAAGATGCGGTAGGCTCCGGCGAGACGGCCTTTGATGTATTCGCGTTCTGCGACTTTGTTGGGGAAGTGGAGGGTTGGTGGTGAGAGGAAACCGATTTCTTGGTTTGATGTGTTTTTGGGGTCGGAGATCTTGGTAGGAGGGCCGTTGGTGGCTGCCAAGTTGAGGTCTGCTGTTGATACTGGGGCCATGATGGGATGGCACGCCTGTAGAAGATACTTGGGAGAACAGAAGTGGTAGTTGGAGGGTGATTTATAGCTATATTGTGAGCTCTGCTGTATTCATATACCTTACCTAGGTTCATGTTCCCTGCATGAATAAAGCTACGCATGCTGAGGAGCGGCAGTTGCTGTGGCCAAGCAAAGCTTCCCATCTCCATGTACATTCTGCATGTCATCAACACGTTCTCGAGAGAACTGTAGTACGGCTGTCGGTTCCACGACATTGACACCAGTTCCATACCCCGCCGGCACAGAAGAGAGCTTCCGGCTGAAACAGGAAGCTGTACAACACTAGAGTGCGAGAGGCTGGCTGACGTAGCGGAGGCGCCGTGTCAGCCTGCAGCAGTGCATGGCGAATCCTTATGGTAGACATGCGGCAGCATACCATTGAAGCTCGCCTTGAATGATGTCTCGCAGTCTCACTGATGATAAAGCTTGGAGAAAAGATCTTGCAGTTGCAAGACCTTGCGAAGGTTTGAGTTCGGCGCTTCCGACTACGAGCGAAAATGTGTTGATTTCAGCAGCTTGAGACGATTTGAAAGAGGACTGGAACCCTTGATTCCCCACAGCCGTACTGGTGTCGTGAGGTGGAAGTGGAGGTCAAAGTCTTGAAGCCGAAGTGATTCACTTGGAGATCAAACAGCAATGACATCATCCAGTGCACTTTCTTTACAGCCCTGGGGACGGAAGTCCAAGACACTTTCCACAACAATCATTAAAAGAAAAATGTCATCAAGAAACTACCTCATCACAGGCGCAGCCCGAGGCATCGGCCGCGGCCTCACACGCCTCCTCCTCTCCAAAGGCCACCGCGTCTTCCTAGTCGACAACAACGAATCCGAACTCACACATTTCACAACTCAACTCTCCAAACAACGAGAAACAGCTCAAAAATCTCAAACCTTCTCCTCATCCCTCTGCGACCTCCGGCAACCCTCTCAGATCAAACAAGCAATCTCTCTCGCTTCCGATTTCTTCCAAGGCCATCTCGATGTCCTCATCAACAATGCAGCCAATACCTCCTCTGTTGCAAACGCCACGCCTTTAGCAGATCAAACTCTAGAAGACTGGACGGCAGCGCTCGAAACGAACCTCACGGCTCCGTTCCTGCTTGTTCAATCTAGTCTGCCTCTTCTAACTTCTTCTCGCGCCACAGCCGCGAACGTGATCAATATATCTTCTACTCGAGCTTTCATGGCCGAACCGAATCATGAAGCTTATTCTACTACCAAAGCCGGTCTCCTCGGTCTTACACAGTCACTATCTGTATCTCTGGCGCCGCAGAATATTCGCGTGAATGCTATTTTACCAGGGTGGATTAATGTGGCGCACGAGTGCAAAAAAGGCGACGAGGAGGGTATGAAGTGGGAGGACGGGTTGACGGAAGATGATCATAAGTGGCACTTGACAGGACGTGTAGGCAAGGTGGAGGATGTGTGGAGAGCAGTGGAGTACTTGGTGGAAAATGAGGGGGTAAGTGGGACGGAGATTGTTGTTGATGGGGGAGTGACGAGGAAGATGGTGTATCCGGAAGAATAGAGGGAGAACGTGTAGAGTTGAATCTGTGTGAGCCGCAGCTCTTGTTCGTGCAATTCGTCCATCATTCGCTTCGTCGTCGAGCGTCGCCTTCTATGTCTATGGAAATATTATGCAGTGTTATGCTTTTCATCCACATCATGCAGCTTACTCCAGAGATGCATTACCTTATCTCCAGCCCGAGATAGCATCATCGATATCTTTGCGGTGTGCCCGCTGCTCCTCGCACTGCTTAAGGAAGACCTTGTACTTGGCCTGGAGCAGCTTCTTCTCGCCTTGGTCCTTATTTGGGTAGACAGCCTTACCAGGCTTGCTCATCCTGTCCATAATGTCCCATAGTGGTTCACTCTTGCCATCCTTGTCTGTAGAAGCAGCCTTGGCACCAAGCATGGCAGCACCGTGTACGACAGCGGCATGGACATATCGTGGAATCAGCACAGGCATGTCACATGAAGTGGCCATGAGTGACATGAGGACCGGGTTCTGGCATTGCGAGCCAGACATGAAGATGGAGGAGATGACGTGCCCGGCGTTGTTCATCTGCTCGATGATTTGCTTGGTCTGCAGAGCAATAAACTCCATAGTACCATAGTAGTACAAAGCAAGACCGTCAATGCTCTTGTCGTTGGAGAGACCAATCACAGATCCCTTCATGTCTGGGTCGGCGATTGGAGAACGGTTGCCGAATAAGTCTCCGTAGAAGAAGAAGTGACGGCCAAGGTAAGAGATGGCTGGAGCATTAATCTTCTCCTTCATCTCATGAAGATGCTCGTTCAGGTAGTCGTAGATGTTGGTGTTGAATGACTCGGCCAGAGACATGGCTTCTTGGAAAGCTGGGTGTGTCTCGACAACGTGCTTAAGAAGCTCGCCAGTGGCCGACTGTCCACCTTCGGCCAACCAGTAGTCTGGAATGAGGACGTCTCTGTAAGGACCCCACACGCCGTTGACGAAGACTGGCTTCTCCGACATAGCCAAGTGGCAGGTCGATGTGCCAGCAACAGCGGCCAGACGTGTGAAGGCCTGGGAGACGTCGTTCTTTGGCTTGGTGGTATCGAGGCTGTCTTCTCTGAGGTTGACCTTTGCGCCCACAGTGCCGATCCAGCCGGCATAGGCGTCAATCACACCGCTGCCGATGGCGATGCCTGCTGGGAGACCCATCTCGGCTGCTGCCTTCTCGGACAAGGTGCCAATCAGCTCACCAGCCGTGAGGTAGTGACCGTTCTGCGAAATTGTCAGCCAGGAGCTCAGATATCACAAAGTCGTTCTGGAAGGTAGTACCACCCCGTTTACGCCTCCCATCCGCTTGAAGTTGTCCTCGCAGAGATCTGAGAGGCCGATCTCGGTAAGGAAGTCCTCTTGCCAGCCCTTGACACTGCCGTCGACACCAACTGGGACATATCCTTGCTTGCAGACCACTGAGCAGAAGCTTCGTGCCTCGCTGCCAGTTGCCATGTGTGTCAAAGCATCGCCCAAATCATAGAACTTGCATCGATCGAAGAGCTCCTTTGGCATGTTGTTCTTCAACCACAGCACCTTTGGAATCTCCATTTCAATGCTCATCTGGCCACCCACATATCTGAGTAGATTGTGGTTTGTGGCATTGATCTTCTTCGTCTCTTCCACCGGTCTGTGATCAAGCCATAGGATGACATTGCGGTCATTGCCATCAGCGTTGTCAAACTTTGGTCCTGTCACTGCAATTGGCTCGTCCGTCTCTCGGTCGAAGACTGTGAGGGAACAGGTGGCGTCGAAGCCGATACCGCGGACTGTGTTGGGATCGATGTTGTGCTGAGACATAGCTCGCTGGATCGAGTTGCAGATGCATTTCCAGATGTTGGTCGTTGATTGTTCCTGTGGCTCGGGTTAGCATTTCGACTTCAATGGCTTTTGATGGCTCGGCGGGACTGTACATAGTAGCCCGTCTCCGGCTGCCAGAGGCCAATGTTCTCGCTTGCCAGACCGACAATATCGCCCTTGTCGTTCATGATACATGCTCGCGCACTACCAGTACCGACATCGATACCAATATAGTGGTTCTGCTCCGGGCGGAGTTCATTGTGCGGGTCGACCGACATCTGGCGCGACTGCTGCCGTGACGGGTTGCGGTATGGTAGTCCTCCTGGAGTCGCCATCTTGAAGGTGATTTTGTAGCTCCCAATGGAGTGGCTCTGTGGGATCCCTTGCTTGAAAAGTGTTTGAGGTTATCGTAAGGCTATTTCTGATGCCAATTGGGCTGTAACGGAAGGAAAACTTGGTCGTTACAGAGAGGTAGGAGGCAAGAAGAAATGGAAAGTGGTGATGTAGGAGAAGTTTCGTTGAGCTTCCTGCGAATGGCCCGGTCAAGCTCTGCCTGCTCGACCTCTCACCGCGAAAATCGACCTGGGAGACCCTGACGCTGCTGACGGTGAAGGAGAGCTACATCATAGTGGGGACGCGGGGGCCAGTTGGCCTGCGGAGCGAAGACGAGGGCCGCTCGTAGTGGCACGCAGCCATCTCCACCGGCAGCAGGCTGATAGGCGACGTCGTGGATGATCGTCGGTGCGCTGGGGACGCGAAGCTGCGCGGTGAACTGGCGGAGCGCGAGGAAAATGACATTGTTCCAGGCGAGCGCGGCTCAATCTTCCCGCGTTCTTGGCATTCCCGAACAGCTCGTGGTTGTTGCCGGAGATGCTGCCATCTGCCATACCGCAGCCCTCCACCACCATGCGCGCCGCCACCGTTCTCAGCATTGTGCTGACGTTCATCGTCTCCCTCGCCGCTGCTGTCGACGCTGAGCGAGAGGTCAAGGTCTTTGCCTGGCCGTCCTCCGCGGACAAGCCTCAACCGCTGGCAACCGTGTCCTACACCTCGAACAATGCCTCCATCAAGAGCTATACCCCGCCAACGATACCCACAAACGACGACGTTGTGCGTGTAGGCTTCTACCATGACTCCGGAGACTGGTCCGCAGTCGCTACGTCCGCCTCGAACTTCGCGCCCGCCAAGTCAAAGAAGCTGCAACTGCACGTCAGACAGGACGGAGAGCTCTATCATCTCGGTTTCAAGACATCAGAGCCAATGAGCCAAGGCAAGGGAAGAAATGCTGTGAAGGATCTGAATGTGGAGGTGATCAAGATCAAGACGGGCCCGAAGCCTGCGCTCAACAAGCCGATTGTTGTCACGGCTGATGGAGAGGTCGAAGGCAAAGAACCGGAGAAGTCATTCTTACAGAAGTAAGTGATACTATCAGGTATTCATAGATTCCATACTAACTCGTCACAGATATTGGTGGGCAATTGCCTTGTTCCTAGTGGTGCAGGTCGTTGCTGGGGGCGGAAAAGCAGAATGAGCAAGTCGCACAACTAACACCGGCAGCTCGCCTCATATGACCAGAGCCGTTACACGAACAAGTTGCTGTGGCTACTTTGGAATTGTTGCTTGTTTGACTGGACCATCAGCTCAGCAGCTCGGCGCAAGCTGGGAGATACGGACTGATAGCTTCTGCTATGTGAGCACAAGGCGTGATAGAGCATCACGAGCTCTAGCAGCTCCAGAGTGAGCAACTCGATGGAGAGGAGCGCAGGCGCCGCTGCGTCTATCACCGAATCACGACGAGGGGCAACTTCTTGCTGCGGCTTTCGAGCCTTCCCTCATCTGCCATGGCTGATGGTCTCAGGAAGCTGATTTGCGTGGAAATAAGCCACCTGACCACAAGCGCAGGACGCCGTATGAATAAGCGCAACTCGGACATGAGCTTTGGCACAATCAACGGATCTCAGCACATGGACAGCCAATGTTAATGCAAAAAGCCGAGCCGCGAAAAGCACTACCAAAGCAAAATTGCTGGTCAGTATTATGGCATACTGCTTGCGGCATCCCGATTGTGATGCGGAGAGAAGATCTACAGCTACAGCGCCGCAATTGACTACATTTGGCTCTCCCCCAACTTTATTCATCCTTCGCTTCTATGGCTGAAAGCTGATTTCTAGTGCTACGGTGAACACATAAACGTGTGATCCCACACAGATCTGCGCTTTCAGCTGAAAGACTCATCCATATAGGTCAAAGAGTTCCGATCTACTGGCAAGTCTATTGTCTCCAAATTCATTGCTGCGCAGTTGTTGCATTCGGTCTCCCCACAACGTCCAGCACTGACAGCTGAACAGAAGTTTGTGCTACCTCTAAATCACTAACCTCAGCATTCACAATAGATCCAACGAGAGCCGCCATGTCCCAGTCCACAGTTGAGAAGAGCAATGATGCCGTGCGACCGCCTCCGCGACGCGCGATCGTTGGTGACATCGAAGCCATGCAACACACAACCAATATCGATCGACGACAGTGCTCTCGTGTCGTTCCTCTTAAAGTCCTCTGTCTCGGCCTCTCGCGTACCGGCACGGCTTGTGAGTCTACCTCCACCCACCACATCTTGGTAACATGGTGTAGATATGATCAGAGCGACGGGAAAGAATTCATCAATGGACGACTCATGCTAATGATCGGGCCACCAGCACTCCGACAAGCCCTCCTTGACCTAGGCTACTCCGACGTCTACCACTATGCAGCCATCCTCAACGAAAATCCCCGTGATGCCGAAATGTGGAACGACGCTCTCGACGCCAAATACGACCCTTCCGGCACCCACAAGAAGCCTTTCACACGCAAAGACTGGGACCAACTTCTGGGCCACTGCATGGCGACCACTGATACTCCTACCGTAATATTCTACCGCGAACTTCTGGAGGCTTATCCCGAAGCGAAAGTCATCCTGACTGTACGTGATAGTCCGGAGGCATGGGTCAAGTCGTATCAGAGTACGATTGGACAGTATGCGCTTGCTATGAGGCCGCCGGCCACGTTCTGGGGAAAATTTGTTAAATGGGCATTTGCGCCGAGGGACGAGTTGGGTGAGGGATATTTCAACAGGGTGGTGAAGTGGTATGATATGATTGGAATCTTGATGAGGGATTTGGAGAAGGGGACGAATGAGGATAGTGTGAAGTACTACACAAGCTATAACGAGGAGATTCAAAGGTTGGTGCCGAAGGAGAGGTTGTTGGTTATGAATGTTAAGGAAGGATGTGAGTTTTTTCCTTTTTCTGCTAGTTTTATCTTGCGTGGCACGCTATACATAATCGGAAACGTTCCAGACCTTGCTAACTTGAATGTAACAGGGAAACCTCTTTGTGATTTCTTGGACGTCGCGAAACCAGAGTGGGCATTTCCGCAAGTCAATTCTACGGAGGACTTTGGTCGTCGAACCGCAAAGATCATCGATCACTTTGGTGGAGTCATCATGTGGAACATGGCGAAAACACTTGTACCAGCTGTTGCTCTGGCAGTCGGAGGTCTCGCGTGGTGGATGCGATCAAAGTGAAGTGTTGTCGAGAGTGCGATAAGCACAATTAGAAGCACAAAATCAAACGCCACTTCAGATCTCGGAGCAAGTGCCGAGCGCGCACTGAAACAAGGCAGATGGGTCTCTGACGGAACTCACGGCATCTGTCACGCATGCACACATGCATTCCGACTGCCACATGTCACTTTCTGTGCAACTGACATGAAGCATACCACGGCATAGGCTTGGTCAAATAAGAACGTGGTATGCAACTATAATTTGTCGCAACTGCTAACAAAGTTCGAATCACAAACGCGCCCTCCGTCCTTCAGGATGCGTAGCGGGACTCTGACGCGTGTTGATGCAAAACTTGGAAGAAGAGTAGGCGCAACGCCTGTCTGATATGATGGCGACTACCCGCTTTGCAGATACTTGTTTCCTGCAAGATCTTCACTCTCGTCAACTTCTGATCTTCACATGCTGAACCGTTGCGACAAAATCAGTTGTTGCCGGCATGGACAGCATCGCACGATGACGACGAAAGTGAACCACAGAAGATTTGTGACAGAACTGTGCTCGGTTAGCGATTGACGCGAGGCCACAATATCGAGCTATGCAACGAACAATATGGCAGGCTCTGCTAGCGACCACAATACTCGGATGTCTGGTGCTGTTCTTTCTCTCATCATCACCATATAGCCAGTCTCGACTTCTCCACCAACAACAAGCGAGCGTCGACCAAGCCTACGAGAACGACAACGAGTTCTTCCAATGGAAATCCAAATCCGCATACCGACACGTGACGAAAGGCACAGCGAAGAACGCTCACGTCGAAGAGCTATGCAAGTTCTTTCCCAAAGAGAAACTCGAGCACATTCAACCCGTGCTGAAATCTGGGCACGGAGCAATGCATCGGGTGCGAGAACAGCTGAACAGTTCTGCGGCGTGTCTTGATAATCTCCTTATCTTCTCCGATATGAATGAAGAGGTCGCCGGCCGAGCTGTCATCGATACGATCGCGGATATACCGCAGAAATTGATCGATAGCGATGATCAGACTCTACCATATCGTCGTCTGAAACAGTATGTCATCAATGGCACCCTTGATGAAGCAGATGAGAATAAGCTTCCAGGTTGGGAGACGGACAAATTCAAGTTCTTGCCTGATATCAGTCGCGCATGGCGAATGAGTCCTGACAAAAAGTGGTACGTGTTCTTCGAGGGCGACACGTATATCCTATGGGACACTCTCTTCCGCTTGCTAGAACACTTCAACCCGGATATACCGCATTACTTCGGATCGCCTTCGCCCGGACGAGACGTGATGTGGTTTGCGAACGGGGGACCGGGACTCATTCTCTCTCGCGCTGCGATGCAGAAGCTCGTGCAATATGATTATACTTGGAGAAACATGAAGTATCGAGGCTCCAAATTGGCTGAGAAGCATTGGCATGAGACATTGGTGAATTGTTGCGGCGACAGCATCTTGGGTTGGGCATTGTGGGAAGAAGCTGTCAAGCTGGAAGGGCTGTGGCCGATGTTCAACCCACATCCGCCGCATGGGGTGCCATTTTCGGAGTTGTATTGGTGTCAGCCTGTGTTGAGCATGCACAAGCCAAAGGATGACACTGCGGAGAGGTTATGGAGGTGGGAGTGGCGGGAGAGGGGTGTAGAGGTAAGTGGTGTTCTGCCGAGACTTGTGATGTTCATCCCTGGGCTGTCAAGACTGACTTCTGATCATCAGCGTCCTCTTCTCTACCGCGACCTCGCAACGTCCTTCTACGAGAGTTTTCAGTCGCCCAGCATTCGCAAAGACTGGGACAACGCCGACTGGGACGGCTTCGAGCCACCGAAATACCAAGCTGCTCATGCTTCTGTCGAACGCTGCCAAGAAGCTTGCACGAAGCACAATCTTTGTATGCAATGGACATATCATCTCAAGAGATGCTGGTTTGTTCGATCTTTCCGACTCGGGCAAGCGAAAGGGCCACGCGTGGAGGATGATCGTAAAGATGAAAAGTGGTTAGAAGAGGATAAGAGGTACATCGCAGGTTGGGATACGGTGAAGATCAAGAAATGGATCGAGAAAAGGCCCTGTACAGAGGTGCAGTGGGTGAAGCCGAGTACGAAGAGGATCTTCTGAGACAGCGAAGTCATAGTGCTGTGGCCGGCAAGAACGAATTTTTCAACGGCTGCCAAACTTGGTCTAAAGAATCCCAGCCCTAGAAGAGCTCGCGTTCATGAACGTTTTCTTGTGTCTTCTCAGCTGCGCGACGACTTTCTGCATGATCCAGACAGCTTCTCCTGACTGACATGGCAGCGACAGCAGGAGGCTTTGCAAATTCTGACGGCGCCTTTAGGACGAGCACTCGGTGGCGTGAGCAGGCGTTCAAGGCGAGCGTCGGTGTTGTATCTGTGTGAAAAGCGATCACTCATTGATGCGCCTTCTGCTCGCTGCAAGTCCTGCGCGATCCAAAGCATGAACTCCTCAGCCGTGAGTCTGAGGAACACATCTGCCCAAAATCTGCGATGCTCCCTTTCTTGACAAGGCCAAGCATGTTTGGGATCATACTCAGGCACCGGATCACCTCCGTCGTCAATAAAGAAGCTGGCGGTCATTACCCCCTGTCCAACTATGTCGAAAATGTCGTTTCATTTCGGACGCACCACCAAGACCACTGTGCTCGAACCCAATCCAGCATAGTGTTTAGTACAGACATCGGAGGAGCTCAAAGCCGGGAGAAACTTCCTGCAATGGATGAGGATGTCGCCTGGCATGGCCTCGGGACAGAGCAAAGCTGCCAATACTCCGTCCACGTGGACTTTTTCTGACCATGGTCACACAGCACTGTTCCGCGAGCGTTACGCGCTGCGCACTGAATACAGGAATCCGAAGTCTTTTCAATATCGTACCGGCGCCGTCCATGCTGGCGTAAGTCCGCTGTAAGAGATTCGTTCCCCGTATAGTACAAGCGGGCACAGTTTGCAAACATGGTGAACTCTTCATGCTTCAGTGGGACGCAAGGTTCACCGACGTCCTCGAACTCTGGCATACGTGCGTTCCGTTGATTCTGTAACGCTGCCCTGATTTCTTCGTGGTAATAATCTATTTCAAGGGCAAGCAAGCAATTTCGCAACTCGCACAGGTTCAACATTCGCGTCAGCATTATGGCGAGCTCCCGGGCTGATTTTGTGTAATCTGGCACGATGGGCGTGCACCCAGTCCGCTGCCAGTCCGTCATGGCTAGCGTTCCAAACAATCGGTCGCGGACATCTGCACAGAGCATGTGTCCCAGAGCAGACATTTGTGTACCCAGAGAAGCAAGGGTCGCGTCGGACTGCGAACAAGCCCTGTTCAGAACAGTCGTGAGGTCCTGGAGCATCACACCAATCTGGATATTTGGCAGGCTATACCCTGAACACCATGCTTTTATTTTCATTGCATCACGGTAGAGTGTCCCATATAGCATGGCGAATAGTCTTGAGCAAAGAGTGTGAGTGCCACACATCAAAAGTACATCGTGGTGTGCAGCTGCCAACTCCTGTACGATCCAGAGCCTTCCCCAGTATGATCGACAGAGGAATAGGGCACAGGCAGAAAGCAGGCGTTGGAAGGTTGGCGCCTCAAGATTCACAAGTATAGACGTTCGCTCATACCTGCTCGAGACCATCAAAACAGGGAGTGAGCGGTTCTTGGTCTCATGTTGCTTCCACAAGCCGAGAAAATGTGGCTGCAGTGCCTTCGCAATCGCATATAAGAAGTCGCTGTCGTCTGCATGTTCCCCAAGGCAAGCAACAACCCGCAGAGCTCTCTTGAAAATGTGAAAGATTGAAGCCACCTGGGCGCTCTTTTCCCCATCGTCCTGTTGATTTATGCAGATGGAATCGATCCAGACATAGCAGTGAGGCTCAAGCTGTCGAGTCTGCCAGAGCGCATAGTAAGCATTGTGCCGCACTGACGTTGAGATGCCATCGATGACGATAGGACGATTGACTGTTGGACCCCAAGTATACGATATGGCAATGTAAGGTGGAGCTGTATCGAGATCCCAGACAGATGTCTGCAAATCATGAACGCCGGTAATGTGTGAGTCCGCGCGCCACTTAAGAAGACGAATCTGGCGTCTAGCATCTTGTAGTGGAGTGTAGATTCTCTGGTCCACTGCCGTAGGAGGCAGATTTGCTTGATCAAGACGTGGTTCAGCCGACAGTATGCTCGTGAGATCTTCTGTATCCAGCGGAACTGCCGCAGTGAATCCCGAAGCTTCCATGGTCCAGATTGACCGTAGAACACGTTGTGCGGAGACAGTATCCGTGGCGCCAGTGGTCGTTGATGAGGAAATTTCCGCCTATTGTGCTCTGTCGGGATACTTTAGCACCGCATGAAGGCACTGCTATGTCAGACTAGCAGGACGAAATGCAGACAGCAAAGCACACTGAGGGGCATAGCTTATGGCTCCGCGAAGTACATGACTGAAGCTGAGCCATCTCACGGCCTCTCTTGCATGGACCAGCGCCCCTTCCATAACTGGCGGCTTACTGTGCTTGGTGTGCAATGCGAAAAGTACTTGACGATCTTCAATCGTGGCGGGACTCTGAAGTGTGCTGGACGACAGGTGATTTGCATCGTGAACAGTGGTGGCGCATTCAAGTCTGCTGATGAGCTGACGAGGTGGCTATATGCTCCGCCACATATGACCAATCTAGCCTCATGTCGTGTAACCCGGACAAGAGGCGCAGCGTCTACGAAAGCATCCTGGAGTAGAGCTGATCTTCCGGTTACCAAGAGCTTCAGGTACTTTGCTCTCACAAGCATACCACATTTGCGCTAACGACCAGCATTACGATGTCAGAAGTGCCTTGTGAGGGGGAGGTAATAATCAATCACCTCCTCTCCTCTGTCCTTGCCAGTGCCCAGTTCTTCAACCACATCCTTGCAGCATCAAGGTCTCCGCCCTCAGCCTCAAGTGCACCTAGGCACCATTCGAAACTGTATCCGCCCTTGCCAGTCGGGCCGCCATCCTCAGCGGCCAGCATCTCGGCGAGATTTCTCTTCTTCTGGCTACTTGGCTCTACGCAGAAATGCAAAGGCGTCCTAGCCTCTCCACTCTCTGTAAGACCAGCAAGAAAAGGCTTGATCATTGGCAGAGCATCTTTAGTCGTGATATTCGTACTGAGTTCGAGGTTCTTTCGTCCGGTCTTGCAGTACTCGTTCTTGCAATGAGCTTTCCCGCAGCCTGTCAGGATTTGTTGAAGGTATCGGCGTTCAATACGTCGGCGTAGAGCTTTATTCTCCGGGTCATGCAGACTGACATAGAGAGGCCCAAAGCAGACACTGCACAGACCAACATCGTTACCGGGACCTTGTCCCATCCGAGTGCCGGCTCGAGTATCGCCGTTCTTTGAGCAAGTGTCGAGTGTACGACCACAGTAGACGTTGCGGCATGGAATTGGAGCTTGGCGATTGAACCGATCAAGGTCATGGTTCTTGAGATGAGTCTCCATATCACGAAGACGGACGATCTTCTGGCACAGGTGACACTCCGTTGTTCGTGCACCATCGGCAAGCTCGTGCACCGTCATGCCAGAGAGCAAAGCCTCTGCGTTTGGCACATCTGGGTCCCCCTCTTGAGGTACCTCAAGATGGCAGAAGCGGCATAGTATAGGTTTACCTGGGCATGTTGTGGTTCGATGTCGGGCCAGAGCAGGCAAGTTGTGGAACGTTTCCGCTGTGCTGCAATCACTGCATCGTAATACCTCGGTTGGATGTGTGATCGTGTCGTGCTGCTTCCGCGACGACTGGCTATTGCCAAAAGAATCATCGTGTGAACAATGCCAGTGTTGCTCATACTCAGGAGAGCGCTTCTGGAAGACCTGACCACAACCTTTTGGACAAAGAATGTTGTTGCGCAAGCAGAAATTCTCGTGGAGAACTAGTCGTCCTTGAGGTACCCACTGTAGGCAGTTCTTGCATCGTACATCTCCTTCGTTTGGCGGCGCCTCTTCGCTTTCTTCAGTCAAATTGATCACATTGGCGGGGCCGTCTGCATGTTTGACACGAAGTGTGAAGTGGCGAGGCTCTGTGGCGGCTTCGGCGTGCCCGTTGCTCTGGCTTTCCAGTGCAAATGCCCACACTGATACTTGCAATGCTTCGGCGTGCTCCAACTCTGCATTGGTCGGCTCCAATCGAATCCGCTTCCTTGGTCTTGTGTCGAGATCGGCGAAAACGAATTCGTCGATGCGCGGCTTTGACCTTTGAGTTGGAGAGAATGGATTGATCAGAATATTGACATCCTCCTGGTCGTCCTCGGCCACGAGCTCGAATTCTAACGCTTGAGATCGGTTCCATGATGGTAACTGGTAGTCGACATACTCTCCCGGCAGGACCTGTCCATGCTGCTCTTTGAAGAGATCCAACTCCCCACCTGGAGAGCTGCCGTGTTCCGTGCCTGGTTGTTTCGCCATCTTTGCTGCTATACGCTTCATCGTTTCTCGAGCCTGCTCTTCGTTCAACGCCTCTATGTCTACCTCTAGATCCGTGTCGACCACGCAAATGCCATCGACGTCCGGCTTGAAGCCGTCGACCAGAAATCTGTATTCTTCTTTCTTTCCCCCGGTTCCCCGTCCTCCCGGGACGATCAGAACTTCGCCGTTCGTCATGGTTGTATAGTTTGTTCTTAGGTGCTGTTCCAACAACGCTTTCCAGTCCTCAGGATCGTATCCAGGTTCTAGAGGTCGCAACTTCACGAATGTGCCTTTGGGCAGTTGTCGTGCATGGATCGTGATCGTGGGCTCCGAAGCGCCACTTTGTCCCATGTCGTCCGCCTCATCGACTTCCATCTCCTCGCCATGCTTGGTCGGCGTCACAGGAATGCCTAGGGTCTCATGAAGAAACGGACTCAGAACGACGTGTCCTTCTTCAGCAGAGAACTCGCGAATGCCAGCGTACACGACACGATCATTCTCGGGACTCACAAGTCGAAACGTCAGCGGATATGGGAGTTGTTGGCGTTGGTCCTGATATTGGGACTCGGCCTGCCGATAAGCCGAATAAGTCGAGGAGTTGTATGGATCATATTGCGGGAGATCTCGTCGCGCATTCTCTGCTGCAGCATTCGATGAGGCACTCAGTAGCTGCTCAAGCGCCGATGGAGGTAGCAGTATCTTGTCGCCAGACAACTTCTGCCCAGAAACCGGCGCCGAAACCGTGTATTGTCCAGTCCACTTCAGTGAAGGTATCGGGGACTCGGTCATCGTGGCGTTGTGATGTGGATCTCGAGTCGTGAGGCCATGAACCGATCAGCTCGCGGGGACGCGCTTCTCTGGAGGTTATCAGCACACGTGAACGATGTGAATGGCGACCATATGAGATACTGACCTGCAGAGGCAAATGTTCTGGAAGGCACCAGGATGACATATGCAATCCAGTCGCGCCAAGCTTTTCGGCTGTTGGCGGCGCGCAGAAGCGCGAGACCGCTCGACACGTACTCCTATCATCAAGACTATGTACATAATCTGTCGTCGACACGACAAGTGCTGCACATTGTGCAAGACTTTATTGCATAGTCCCACAAACTACATCAACGCGAAGCTCATCAGCTACTTTCCCTCTCACCCGTCAAATGGCACCGCCCGCAGATGGGGACTTGAGCGGTAGGCCACATTTCCAGACGACAAGACATGGGCGAAGCGCATCCACGACATACAACCGTTCAATGAGACCGGGCGACTGTCCAGGTGAGACGATTGTCATGGATTGACGCAGAATCTGACGCGAATTGCGGTCTGCAATAAGCGCCAGCTGGTTCCTGTCGCTCCACAGCACAAGCAGTGGTTCAAGGAGCCCAAAATCACTAATGGCTTCCGCCAACACGAACGCGTCATCAGCTGGATGTCATATCGAGAAACAGCATTTTCTCTTGAGCGGTCGCTGACTTTCAGGACTAACCAGCATGTCTCCCGTGTCCTCTCTACAGCCACCCTCGAGTCGGACAAGGCAAGGTGCCGTATTCAGACTGCTGTCCGCTGTTCGAAATCGGTTCAGACTGTGCCTCATCTACCTCGTCGTCGATCTAGCATAGCCTTGACGAAGGTTGATCATAGAAAGTGTTCCGCGGCCAGACGCTCATGGATCGCTGTGGGCTGTTCCACAGAAGACCCGGTCGACTGAGGCAATGCTCACCATGATCCATTTCGCGCGCGTCTGTAGATCATGCCCACTCGCAACCCACGAGGATTGACTGCTACGACCACAATCCGGAGCACGAGATCGCGCGCAAGCGTGTTATCTGGACGCGTGTATGCACCGAGCGTCGCGTCGACGCGACTCTGGAGCGCGCAGAAGACTTTCGCGCATTTGTATATTTCAACGCCATTGTGCATGATCTAGAGGTGAGGTCGAAGGTGACTCACACTGTCAACCAGCTCTGAAACACGTAGGAGCTGTTTGAGATGCGCTGGTTGCATGCCATGCGATGCAACCTCGAAGTTTGCGAGGAAGCCTCGGGTGGCTGTCCAATCATTGGCAAGAAGCCGCTCCTGCTTTGCTACGCGCTCTTCACCCGCCGAGCTCCAACCTCTTCCTTTCGCTAACCGCCCACGCCCACAACAAACCCCATCAGTGGAGCTGTGCGGACCGCTGCATTGCCTTCGACGGGGCATGTGGAAATGTTTCATCTTGCTAACCGCTCTCTCAAGCGTTTGCTTGTGAGCCAAAGTTAGCAACAGCCTCGACGCAGCCAGTCGTCTTCGTTCCTTCAAGACAGCCATGATGAAATCTGGATATGCCGCTCAGCAGACCGCTTTCTTGTGAAACCATGACCGATCCGAACGAGGGCTCGACCCGTTTCACAGACCTCGATCCAGCAATGAGGCCACTGCCGGAGCGGCCAAGACGCGAGAATGGTCCACAGGTAGTATGCTAGGCGGAAGCACGGATGTACGCTACACTGCTTTCAAGGTTCGTTTCATGCTCGCGAATGACGCTACGCATCTGCATAGCATGCTTGTGCCCGTACTACTCGGTATGGATGGATCTCAGCGCGCTGGCCTCGCATATAGGAATTGGCTTACCCGCGCGCCTTGTTTCTCTCTTTCTCCGACAGGAATCACCAACTGTTCGACTGCGCTGCTGAAGCTTGTGACGAGCTCGACGAGTCTCCTTGTCTTTCTCTTTCCTTTGTGCGACTTTGTTATTGGCATTCGTTCGGAGCAGGTCTCCTACCCATGCTAGTCTACCTAATTACTATCTAATAGCATACGCTGATACGGCATCTCAAACACGGCTCTGGAAGCCCGCTACGACCAAAATGGATTTTCGACACGTTACGCCTCCTTCAGAAATACAGATTTGTGGCTACGATGACTTGTCCTGCCCAGGTGGCAGTGCAAGCACCGATGGCACCTACTTCCCGCAAGATTGGTCTCCGCAGACGACCTTGACAGCGGCCACCACACCACCCCGATCACCTGGGATCATTCGAGAGAATGGTTCAAGACTACTTCCAAAACCCAGATACCAAGACCAGGTCATTGAGCCCAGCTACAGCCGCTCCTCGGCATTTCATTCACATCACCGAACATCTTCCTTACCAGTCAACCCTGATGGCCACCAATTTGGCCCGGCTTTGCCACGTCCCTCTGTGGATCGGAGATCGACCAGTCCATATGCTCATGCGAGAACCGTCTCTGTATCTCCACAACCGACATCGTTGTCCAATTCTCTCGGCATTAGCCGGCCTTCTATGAGCAACATGCGATCCGCCTCATCATCACACATTTCCAATGTCCGATCACATTCACGGAACATGTCGTCTAGCAGTATCGACGCGGCAATGCTTAGCAGATATGGCTACCCAACTTATCGTCAAAGTCCAAATGCGCAGCCATTGCCCGTCTCTCTGCCTGCCTCAAGACCACCGACTGCGATGAGCTTCCTCGCTCCCATCGTTGCGCCGAATGGACAGATGCAATCTTATCCCAACCAACGCCGAACGGCGAGTCCGCCTGCGAGGCCTTCCCGGCTATCTGTCGAAGCCGAGGTGCCTGTTCCAACGGATGTTCCTAGCCCTACCTCGACTGTCCTGGACTACCTGACCGAACCTAATCCGGCTCCATCGCTCATCAAGAAAATCACCAAAGCCGACACGAATCAAGTCAATCATTTCTGGTTCGATATCCGAAATGTCAGACCATGGACCGACTTCACCGTCGACACAATCTCGTCTATCCCCGGTCTTCTCGATCTCCTTAAGATCGACGTGTCCATGAGAGCGCTGCCCAAACCAGGACAAGTCAACCTCTCGCCAGAGACTCCAGCTCAACTTGCTGAGCTTTGCGCCATGCACCACGCCGTCAAAGTCAACGCTGCTCTCAAGGTAGCGCAGGGTGATAAGCACATCGCCATGCGAGCTCTGCGATCCGGTCCCGGTGCCCGTCAGCAACCCGAGTTCGTCGCCAACTACCAGTCTGATGGCGAGAAGACGATCTACGGAGACGGTCGAGGTCGTGTCGTCGGTATTGTCAAGTCTTACGATCAGTGGAACTCTGGCTACCGCAACGGCTCGCCCATCGACAAGATAAAGTACCTCGAGCATCTATCACATCTCCATCGCTTCATGCGCGAACACGGCACACGATACGGATTTATCATGACGGAGATTGAACTGGTCTGCGTTCGAGCCGGAGGTCCTCCCGCCTCGTCCACCACAGATATTGACAACAACTCCAACCCAAATATTCCTCTGTTCGGCTTCCTCGAGATTGGCCCCTCAGTACAAATTTCCGCTTCCGCTTCACCCAATCAAAATGTCGATGGCTCCGCGCTGCCCTTGACCATGACTGCGGATCTCGCTCTCTGGTATCTGCATATGCTTGCGAAAGAGCAACCTTTTTCGGGGCAGTTCCATTGGAAGTTGGAGGTCGGAGGACCGACTGCGTTGACGAGGAGACATCATTTGCCGAGAGATGATTGGATGCCTAAGGTCAATCAGCAGGACAAGAGGGTCAGCAAGAGAATCAGAGGCTGGACCTGGCCGGATGAGCCGCTGCATAAGCGGGAGTGTGGAAATGGCAGGGCACGAGGGAGGCGGTAGGGTTTGTTCTCGAGATTGGCTACAAGAAGGGATTGTAATGGGGTGGCTAGGGTCCCTGCATCTGAAATGAAGATAGATGACGACAATATCATGTTATGCTCGAGAAGAGGAATCACGAAACATGCTGTACATATGCATATCGCCATGTGTGGCATCACAGAGACTTCATCTGCAGACGAGTCTATAGCCCTCTAGCATAGCGTCGGCGCAAGTTGGCTCATACTTCACACTCGTCTCGCCCCAGTGCCTTCATTACTATCCCTTCAAACTACAACTTAAACTTCAACAAATTCCCAATCATCTCCCTCCCCGTAACAACCGTCGTCCTCCACAAAGTCGGAAAATCCAACGTACTGCTGAACGTATCCGCATACCCAAAGCCCAACATTGGTGGAATCCAACCTCTCGCATACTCAAGCGCAAAACACGACGAGTCCATCTTATACTGCTTGACTTCACCTCTGCGAAGATGGTGCACACTTCCAGGAGGGTAGACTTCAGCTTCGAAGGGCTTGTTAGAAGGATCATAGGCAAGTTGAGTTCCGGTGAGAATGTGGAAGTAGTCGTCTGCTGTGTGGCGGCCTGTGTGGCCTTCGGTTCCGATTGAGGTGCCGAAGATGATGAGGTATTCGGTTATACCTGGGAAATATGACTGTAGTTAGCTACTAGACTCCGCGATGAAGAATTCAAGGTTTGAATGATATAACTCACTGGCGTGGATAATGTACATTGCCCCCATGGCTCCACCGGCATTATTGAAAATCCATTCTTGTTCGAGGTTTATGTGTGATTTCACGCTTTCGATTGCGGACAATTGGCTGATGATGCTGGTGACGATGCCTTCCGTGTTGTTGCCGTGTTCGGAAATGGCTTGTTGGGCGATCGCATGGAGTTGTGGTGGGTTGAAAATGTAGAACTTTTCGAGTTGAGAGTCGAGGAGGAAGTATATGCCCGAGAAGATTGCCAACAGGAGGACTGTGATGGAGAGTGTGGATTGAGAAGGCATCTTGAGAAAACGCTCTTCCAAGTGCGGTTGTTGTTTGAAACAGTTCTTGTAGTGGTTGTTTGGACTTGGCGAAAGTTTGCGGCGTCCGTTTCAATGTTGTTGTGAATGAGTGACTGAAAGGCGATATGACGGCAACAGGTTACCTCATCATGCGTAGGCCGTGTTGTTGGTGTCGCGATGTTGTCGTGGTGTTGAAGACTCTTTGATTTTGATGACCATTCCCTTCGTTGAGATTTAGCCCCCGTATCGTACGAGGTTCAAGTCGTTCTTTCGGAACGGCCCCTGCCAAGTCCGGTGCTTTCCAATGGCCAAAACCACTTGCACAATTCGCTCCTGCGGAAGATCGTACAATGTATTCACACGTGCATGTATGCATCGCTCTCTTGTGTTCCCCACCGGGTATATGTTCTTGCGACTGCTTAGCCGCACACTGCTCGCCGAATGCAGCGTACACCTTAAAGACATTGCATAATATTGGCAAGTCTGCCAAGATGTCAACATGGAAGCTGCAACGAAACACAAGCAGAATCCTGGTTCATTGTTTTACAGCTTGATGTTTACCAGCAGCATGCCGATCTAAGAAGGGCAAGTCACATTGGGGCACATCCAATCATTATACTCGCAGCCATGGATGCTCCAACAGCTCCAATGCTGAAAGTCGCTCGCGTGGATCCCATCTCAGCATACTGCGCAGAAAATCAAAGAAGAGCGGCATATCCATCGTCATCTCCACTCGATCTTCCAAGTCCATACGCTCTATCTTGCCGTGCCTCCAATGATCTGAGAGAACCTGTCAGCCACGCTAGACACTGCAATTTCAGTCGCAGCGACAACCACTCACCATTACTATCAAAGTACTCATCCCGTCGAGAACAGCGCTGAAGAAATTCGTCAGGCGGAGGGCCCAGGTAGCGCAACATTAATTCGAGCGAGGTTTCTTGCGACTTCTCTCCGAAAAGTCGTTCTCCAAGAACAAGTTCCCAGATCTACAAGCACACACTAATCGTCAGCCACAGCCTTACGCAGAAGAAGGATGAAGGATAGTGAACTGACCAAAACACCCAAGCTCCATATATCGATCTTGGAATCCCAACTCGCTCCGAGCATGACTTCCGGTGCTCGATACGGCAGTGCTTGCACCAAGCCTTCATGTGGCGGCTTCCCAAGTTTTGCGGATCCTAGATCGCAGAGAATGGGAAAAGTGAGCTCATCTTGAAACATTTGGCGAGACGTGTAGACTGGCGCGCCATCAGCGTTTGTTCTGATCGTGCTCGGATTTTCGGCCTCGGCAGCAGAAACGAAGGCGTCAAGTATTTCCTTTTCGTTATCAGGAAGTGTCAGCTGGATGTTGTCAAGCTTCAGGTCTGTTTGTAAGTCATTAGTACATCGACTAAGACACATCACCCTCAGAATGTAAGATTACCTGTATGCACGACTCCGTGCTGGTGCAAGAAATCCAAAGCGTGCACAAAGTAAACGGTCATCCAGCGTACTTCATCAATATGGAAGCCATTTCGTGACGTTCTCTTTCTCTGCGATGCAGATTCGAGAAGATTTGGTCCCAGAGGCTCGAAAACGAAGCATTGATGCCTGTTGCCCTTTTTACCCGGGATAACGAAGATGTCCTCTGCCCGGCGGACGCAGTATTTGCCTGGACTTTGCGACTCCGTGGCACTATCTCGTACATGCTTCAAGACTTGCGCTTCTCGAGAGACACCGTCGTTAGCGGTCAATATCTTCAGGACTTTGAACGAGTTTCTGCACATCATAAATATCAACAAAGGTAATGATCCTGTCAAGACTAGGCACTTAACATACTGCAAATCAGTACAAAGCCAAGTCGTGGAGTGTCTACCATATCCGAGCTTGACTCGGATTTTGTATGTGTCTTGAATCGTTTCTCCGATTTTGACGGGATAGTATTTGGAGGACTTGTATCCTGCCAACGTTTCTTCTTCGATCCAAGTCGGCGAAGATGAGATTCGTCGACGTGGCAGACAAAATGGCAAATTCGAGCCGGGTCTGAGTTTTGAGCTTGAGATACGAAGGTTGCGAATAGAAGGACAAATGAATGGCATCTGTTTGATGGAGTTGGAAGTACGTTGGCAACTGAGACGAGAAGTCGATCGTGAGTCTCCATCGTAGCAACTGAGTGGAGGGAGACTAGTCTCAATCTGGTAGTTTGCGAAACTTGCCGAATGGTCGAGACAGCAGAGACGCAGTAGCAGTCAAAAGTATGTTTCTGTCGCTGTAATGCTCGTCAAAGTAGTCATATCATCATTAAGTTATGCAAGCCATTTCGTGGCTCTTCCGCTAGAATGCCTCTGTCGTACAATAGGGCCGAAACTCAAAAAGACCAATCTGCACCTCTCCTCAAAAGCAGAACTGACTGTCGCAGTTGGCAATGCATACAACATGTAGCACAAGCATCCCACGCCAAAATAAACATCCCAACGCCATCAATGCCGCAAATCCGAATTTCGCGAGGCCTCGACCTCTTATGATCTGAAGTCAAAGAGGCCCGGCTTCCCCTTCAGCCCGTCACTCTCCTCACCCACAACCCTTCACCATCATCAAAGCCCCCCTTCCGCCTGGCTCTCGCAATTGCAATCCCCATGTCTCGCTCCTCCAATTTGATCTCCTCCAACCTGGCCCTCAAACTCTCGAGCTCCTTCTTGGCTGCACGGACTTCGGAAAACGTCACATCCAGTGGGCTCGCACTTTCAATTTTGGCATTCTCAACAATGGCCTTTTCAATGTTCTTGCGCTGGAAGATAATCTCCTCTTCCTTTGCGAGAAGTCCCTCCAGATGTGTCTTCGGGGTATTTGAAGTTGACATGTCGGGTGGCAAAGGAGGTAGAGTCTTTGAGGCTGAGCCTGGTGTTTCGTCAGTCGTGAAGCGTTGTTGGTGCTGATTGTTGGTGATGCCGTCAGTCTTTAGCCGGGCAATGACGGGGGTGTCGGGATCGGTTGCTGAAGCTTTGCGTGATTGGGGCTTCCACTCTTCCCGTTCTTGTTGCCGTTGAACGGGTCGATGACGGGAGAGAATAGATTGCACTGGAGGGACCTTGTACTTTGCAGGAATTTGGGCAGGTGGTGGACTGGGTGGAGGTGATTCTGGCCGGGTTTGAAAGTTCGGTGCGCCTGTACCGACTGTGCTCCAGCTGAAACGACTCACTGTGGGCTCTTCCTGTAGCCGAGACAGTGGTGGTTGTCGAGCTGGCTGAGACTCGATCGAGCGGCCAGTCGAAGGTCGCTCCATTGAAGGACGACTTGCAATGTCGAACGAGGGTCGACCGCACATGTCTGACCCTGCATAAGTCGTCCAGCTGAAGCGACTGCCAGGGTCGCGGCGATATCGCGCGATCTCGACAACACTCTCGGACTCGTTGTCTCGTGAAGGTGGAGGGCTGGGGCTTTGCAGTGCGGGAGAATAACTCTCGGTCTGGGAAACAGAACGCGGCGTGGGCTTACGCTTTGTGCTCGACAGTCTGGCCGTTGGGCAAGGTGTGTCAGGTGTTGCATATGAGCGAGTACTGGCTGAGACCTGACTCGGGGCACCACGGTTTCGATATGCAAAGTCGGCGACTTCAGAGACTTGGTCGTGGTCTTCATATTGGATCGTCCGCCAACCACTTCCAGGAGGAATTGATTTTTCCATGTCGCTTAGAGCAGATACGGGCGACGCGTCCTTGGAACTCGCAGTTTCCCGGTCAGACCAATTTTTGCGAACTTCGTACCCATCTCGAGTCGAGGTTCCGGAGGCATTTCTGGCTTCGGTTGCGCTGGACCCTCTGGTGAGGCTGTTGTCGCGAGGCCGGCCAATTTTGGACATGTCAAGTTTGGAGGGCTTGTGCAGCATGGACTTGACTTGCTTGAAGAGCAGCATTTTGGACTGTCGTGTCGGCGCGTCATGGTCGACATTGTGGGATGGGCCGGCAGGTTGCTGGTGGTGCAGCTTGTGCAGTTTCAATGGCGGCACTTCCGGCATTTTTGAGTCTCTGTAGGTCGTTTGGTAGTCGTCCTCGCTGTAGACGGAGGCAGAGGGAGCGAGAGAGGCACGACCGGGTTCTTCGATCCACGGCCGGTCGTGCATGATGGTGTACTGGGGCATTGTCGGTGCTGCTGACAAGATCACGCGTGTTTCATGTCTATCACGTGGGAGTAGCAAGGGCATGTGCTCGGGAAGCAATCAATGAACAGCTGCTGATGATAGGGAAGGGCAGAGGCGAGAGGGAGGGGAGTCGAGGTGTTTGTGTACAGCGAGTGTTGGGCGTCGAGGGACGTGATGCAGCGAGCTTGGCTGGTGGCCGTTTGGTGATGGATCGTGAACAGCACACTACTCCGAGGGACGATGCGAAACGCACTCGCATCGCGCATTCAATGTCGCCGTTCGCCTTCTGGACCGGCGTCCACGACCGGGAGCGTGGTTGCGCACGAGCAGCGGAGGGTTTGGCGGCAGCGCGGCAGCAGAGCTTGTCAAATGAGCTCCTGCCCCAGGCACACTTCTGAAACGCGCCTACCACGTGTTTCAGGAATGATCTGACGTGCCTGCCCTGCCAACTGCCAGCTGCGAGCTCCACTCCGGCAGCTCTGGCGTCAGCTTCTCACGCTGCTGCTGACCTACGACTGCTCTCACAAGCCGTCTCCTTCGCGGCAGCCTTCTCCTCTCCGACTCACTTCGTTCACCATGGCCGACAGTAAGCTCCACGAAGACTCGCGTGCGTCCGCGACAGCCGGTTGACAGATGACAGGTGCAACCGTGGCAGATCCCCCAGTGGGAGGAGTGTACGTTTCACCGAAGCCCGCCTGCAAATTTCCCGGGCCACCACCACCTCCCATCACCCTATCACCACGCTACATGTGGCACTCCCATCGAAGATACACCTCCGGGGGATAGCGCACTGACATTGCTTATGCAGAGCCACCATCGCAACTCCAATCAACCTAATCCTACTTTCACTGTTCATGGTCCTCGCCTATATGCGATTACGTCCCACCAAGACGGTTCCGACTCTGCCCACCGCCCCTCCGCCGACCGTCTTCAAAGTCTTTACTCCTCCTCAGCTTGAACCGTTCAACGGGAAAGATGGAAAGCCAATCTACTTCGCCGTGAAGGGCAAGGTGTTTGATGTATCATCGGGACGGAACTTTTACGGTCCAGGTGGTCCATACCAAAACTTTGCGGGTAGAGATGCTTCGAGAGGTCTGGCCTGCGGTAGCTTCGATCCCGAGATGTTGACTGAAGATTTGCATGGACCGCTCGACAGGCTGGAGGATCTGGGCGAGGAGGAGATGGAGGCTCTCAGAGGATGGGAGGAGAGGTTCAATGAGAAGTATCTCGTTGTCGGCAAGCTGGTGCCTGTGGGACATCCGGAAGCCGAACCGGATGAGTAGGTCAAGTCTGCTGTAAGCGCTGCCTCACGATCATGTACGAGCATAATGTCGACTCTAGCACTGCACAACCACGAAGTCACGATATCTGACACCACTTCTCTTCAACAATTACCCAAGATCCGACATGATCGGGTTTCATTCACATCGGCCTTTTTACTCCTGTGATTGCAACGTCTCACTGCTTCATGTGTGGCGAGCTTCACGCCGGCGATAAGCTAAAGTGTAATCCCACGAATTGTTATCACAACGCGTTGAGTCGCAAGTCCAACATCTACAACACCTCCACGATCTGTTCATCTTCGTCCTCGTCCTCAATCTCCTGCACTCTCCCCTCCTGTGCCAAAGCCATCTTCCTCGCCTCCTCCGCCGGATCCGGATCTCCTTCCTCTCCTCTCTGCAGAACCTGCACCAGACGATCCACACTCTCCCTGACATTCTCATCTTCCACCTTGGCGTGCAATTCCCTGACGATAGGATACACTCGCACATCCCGCAGCACCTTTCTCCCTTCTTTCGTCGTGGTCAGCAAAAGTAATGTCTCGAGATGAATGCAGATAATGTCGTTTTGCGATTCGCGTTCTTTATCCGGAGGGAGAAGTTGGCATTCGTCCAGCATGCCATCGGTATCTTCGTCGCTGTATTCTTCACTGCCCATAAGTGGGAGAAGAATGTAAGGGAGCAGCCCGACGCCATCTTCTTCCGAGGGGCGCAGCAGGGTCGGATGGGAATCAATATCGAAACAGACGTTCTTGATCGTGCTTACTACACCACGGCGGCGGATCGTGGACTTGTGTTCAGTGAAAACGACGAGTTTCGTGATAGGAAGGACCTTTTCCCCATCAGTGGCGGCGCCATCGTCTGAGGAGGAGCCTTCCGTTCGTGGCGTCAAGAAGTGTTTCCGTCCGGCTTCGTGCTTGGAAATGTCGGCGAAGACGTAGCAGAGATAGTCGTAGTCTGCTTTCGGGTTGTACGAGCCTGAGGCACCTTTGACGAAGCAGTCGAGGAGTTGATCGATGGCAAGTGGTGAGGTGGAAAGGTTCTTCTCCTTCGGGATAGGGCGCTTGAGTGTAAGGAGTTTGGTTATGCTGTCGGACTTGGCGAGATTGGCCAGAAGCATGCAGTGTTCATTGGCATTGGGGTCTTTCGGGTCCTGTTGATTTTGTGGTTAGTCGTTGTGAAGTGGTTGGCAAGTGCGGTCGTTACAGACTGTCACTCTGCGCAAGATAGATTCTAGACAAGCATCGTCCTCTATTAAACTCTTCACAACTTCTTGATCATCGGTCAAGTTGACCAATATTGTCAGGGCATTCTTGGCAATGGGTGCGTAGTCTTTGATCAGAAGTTTCAAGTCTTTGATCGGCTCGAGTTGATTGCGTTTGAATAGCGACGGCTGTGATGTCGAGTATCCCACAAGATTCTCGGCCGCTGTGAGAGATCAGACGCGGTGCTTGCAAACATCGTTGAGAAATATCGAAGTCGTACCAATTTGTCGGATTTGAGTGTTGCCATGGTGCAGGAACTCAACGAGCTGTCATTGATCAATATTTGCGTCCTTCTCCGATTTCTAAGCGGCTTGCTTACTTCTTCTAGCTCGGTCGGCATCTTGGATAGTATATTGGAAGTGTTTGTCGTGTTACTCGTTGTGCAATAACTTTTTATGTTCACTCACAACCGGAACCCTGCACAAGCGCATGCTTGGCTCGTGGGATCGGCGCAGCTGTCGAACACTGACTGTTGCTCATTGACATCAACTTGCAAATCTGCAACCCCGAACACGAGCGCCCCGAACGTCGGTACCATCTCAGACTTTGCGCGAACATTACGAGAAGCTCCTACCAGCGCATGAGGTTCATACCATGAGAAGCGATCTCTCGGCAGAGTCGCGCAGCTCAAGTCCGGCGCAATCATGTTCAAGCGCTTTGGGACAGGCTTCGGCCTGGACTTCTTGGACAACAAGATAGCAGAAGAGCAAGAGAAACAGAAACAGCAGCAGCAGTCTCAAAAAGGTGGTTCTCCTGCCAGGCGGCCTTCAAACCGCCCGCGAAGAGGTAGCGGGAGAATCGATCCTCCAGGCGCGCGATCAGGCAGCAGGTTGCGCGTTCCGGACAGCAGAGATGGCGTTCCATTGACGAAAGGGCCTGATCCGGAAGAGTTCGTCATTGGCGATGACGACTCGGTGTCGAGCATCAGCAGGACAGCCACACCGCAGCCGAGTGGGAGTGAGGACAAGAGCGAGGCAGCGGAGAAGGGACAGACAGAAGGCAAGGAAGGTGATGCGCAAGATGGTGACAAAGGAAAGAGCAAGGCTACAGATGATGAGCTGCCCGAGCATGTACAAAAGAAGTTGGCGCATTTGGAGAAGCTCACTGCTCGGTATCAAGGTATGGTCATGTCCAGATCACTCCATCGTGATTGGCATCTCTTGTTTTACTCACAGAACTCGACGTGTACAGATCTATTGCGCAACTACAGAACCGCTCATGCCCGCGTATCACTAATTGATCCCTTCGAAGCGACTCTGCGCGAACATACCCCACTGACCTCCATAGAGGAGCCCGGAGCCCTGGTCGAGTTCTTGAATCAGCGTAGTTTGCAGAGCGACATGGTGCTGGAGGAGCTCAAAAAGGTCGCTGGTCAAAAGAACGAGCTTACAAAAGAAAGAGACGAGCTCAAGAGCAAGCTCGAAGAGGCAGAGAAGAAGGTGAAACAGGCCTTTGACGATGCTGCCGGCTTGCGTAAAGAAAGGGACGAGGCAAAACCTGCAACCTCGACTGTAGGTGCAGAGAAGAAGGAGGACCCGAAGCCGAAAGACGCAGGCGATGATGATGCGTTCTTCTCGTACGAGGATGAGGTGTCCCGGGACGATGAGCTGAAGGCACAGCTTCAAAACAAGGACACACTACTGAAGCAGAAGGACGAGGAGATTCAGACGTTCCAGGCTAAAGAGAAAGAGCAAACTGAATTCATCAATGAGCTATCAACGGAAAATGCATCATTGCGCAAGGATGTTGAGACAGTCAAGAACGAGCTCGAAGTTAAGAATGTGGACCTCGACGCGGCAAACAAGCACATCGAGCGGAAGGACAATGAGATTGCTTCGATCAAGCAGGAACTTACTGAGGTCATCGCTGCTCGTGATGCAGCGAAGCAGCAGGAGGACGCAGTGGCTGAGAGCCTGGTACAAACGGAGTCTCAGCTCGTCAGCATGCAGCAAAAGCTCAACGAGTCACAGGAAGCGCTGCGAATGAAGGCTGTCGAAGCCGAAGCTAGGAAGTCTGAAGCTGAGGCGAATCTGAAGAAGTACCAAGCAGAACACGCGAAAAATCTCAAAGAGGGCACGTATGCGCAGAGAGATGTCAAGGTCTTAGAAAATGTGCGCAGTATACTTCCGAATCTGCAAGCAGAACTCAAGAAGAAGACGGAGGAGGCCAACATCGCGGAGGCGCGCGTTGCTGACATGCAAAAGGATCTTAAGATCATGGAAGCCCAAGCTGCGCAGACGGAGAGCACTACGAAGTATTTGCGTGATGTCGAGCGGACTGCAAAGGAAGACAAGCGCAAGCTTCACGAATTGGAACAACAAAGGGATGCTTTGCAGAAGATCGTGGATTCGAAGAAAGCTCACGAGCAGAAGGTCGCCAGTCTGCAAGTCGAGCTCAAGCAGGCACGGGCAGATCGTGACAAAGCGTACTACGCGATCATCAACTGCGGAAAATGCGAAACTCCAGAGCAAACGGCGGAGAAAGCGGCAGCTAAATCAGCAGAAGTGGCGACACCCACAGAGGAGACGGCCAGTACGGCCACGAGATCGCGTCTCGGCTCTGAAACGACAGAACTTAGCACACAGCCTACTGAGCCTGGAAGTGAATCAGCGAACGCTGGCACACCACCAATCGCAGAAGATGACGATAAACAAGTTCCGACCGGTTCGGCTAAGAAAAAGAACAAGAAAAAGTCGAAGAAGAAGCCAAAGAAGACTGAAACAGATGGCGAGACCGCAACCGCTGCCGAGACGAGTGAACAATCGACAGTCGGCGTAACAGTGGAAGACCTGATTCGTGATCGTGAAGCAGCATCAGCGAAACTGAAGCATAAATTCGCAGGAAATCCGATCATCCCGCTGCTCGAAGATATGCACGAGTACGTGAGAAACCGGACTGAAGCTGTCAGCGATAGTCACGACAGTCACATTGCGCATCTGGAGGAACGAATTGAGAGGTCTGAGCAAGAGATCAAGAACAAGATGGTCATCATTCGGGACCGAGAGGACCAGATTGATATGCTCAAATCTTCGCTGTCTAATCAGACTTATGCCAAATCAGAGGCGGTATTTGAGGAAGAAATTGAGAGGTTGACCAAGGAGATGGAGGCTTTGAAGGAGGAGCGAGACGCGAAGAGCATCAAACTGTTGGGGCTTGAACAAGCTCGCCTAGAAGCTGGAGAGGCTGCGCTCAAGGACGACAGCACAAGCTGGCAAGACAGGGCTGACGAGTTGCAAGTCCGCATCGACGCGTTGGAACAGGAGCTCGCGGAGAAGAACGACAGGATCAGTAAGCTCACTGTTGATCTCAGCGAGACCGGAGAAAGGCTGGGCAAGGCTGAGGAGAAGATCAAGAGCCAAATCGCGAATGAGGAGCTGATCGAGAGTCTGAAGGAGGAGAAGGAGGAATTGCAAGATTCAATGCTAGAGCACGGCAAAGCAGCCACTGACGCCAAGCACGAGCTCAAAGAAGTGAAGGAAAAGCGCGACACGTTGCAGAAAGAACTTGACGAGACTGAGTTGGAGTCTGCAAAACGCGAAAAACAGCTCAAGGAGGCCGAAAAGCGTGAGAAAGATCTCCAGGCTCGACTGACTGAAGTGGAAGCCGAATTGACTGCCGCAAAATCCACTGGAGCCTCGAGCGAGGAGCTGCAAGCGGCCAACGAGCAAGTGGAAAGTCTCAAGCGTGAGAAGGAATCATTGCAGGTCGCAAAAGATGCAGGCGAGGCACAGCTTGAGGAACTGAAAGCACAGCACGCTGCCAGTGGTACGGAACGGAACGCGAAGCAGCAAGCTGTGGTCGATGAGTTGGAGAAGCTGAAGAGTCGAGCCGCCGAGCTGGAAAAGGATCTCGCAGCGTCGGAGAACCTAGCACAACAGCGCTTCAAGGATTTGACTTCGACGAAAGAGCTCAACAATCAGTTTCAGGTTCAGCTTAAGAAGCTGAAGCAAGAGAGTGATGAGCTGCGAAGTGTCAAGGCCGAGCTAGAGAAGTCCAATGCTCTTGTCAAGAAAGTCGAGGGCAAGGCCAAAGACCTGCGATCAGAAATCGCAGAGTACAAGTCCCAAGCTGCCGACAAGGACACTGAGCTTGCGGTGCTGCGAGGTAAAGTGAAGACTGGAGAGGATCGAGGCAAGGCGCTTGAGGAGTCGTACGAAACCGCTCGGAAGGATCTGGAGAAGACACAGAATGCCCGCGACGAGGCCATCGACGCGAAAGAGAAGCTTGAAGCCAGCTACAAGAAGCTGGAAGACGATCTCAGGAAGCAAAAGCCCAGGCTGGATGAGCTTGAGAAGCAGGTCCAGAAGCTCAGTGCAGAGAACAACAACCTGCGCGAGGAATTGCAAACCAAAGCAACATTACAGGCCAGCGCAGACAGCTACGTGCAGAGCGTGCAAGATCAGAGTCGTGAACTTGCGACGCGCTCCAAGGAAATGCAGGAGCGAGTTGAAAGTCTCGAGGAGGAGCTGGCCGATACACAACGCTCGTTGCTTGAACGTAGCAGAGAAGGCGACACCATGAAGAGACTGCTTGCCGATGCCGAGAGCAGAGCAGAGGCTAAAGTCAAGGAGCTTCGCGAGCAGCGAGACCTTGCCATTGAAGAGCGTGACCGTGCTGAAGCAGATGCCAGCACAGTGGGGCGTAAGAAGGCACGCGAGATCGAGGAGCTCAAGACCAAACTTCGTGAAGTGGAATATGAGGCTTCGCGCGCGAGTGAGGCCCGCAAGGATGCTGAGAAGCGCGAGCAGGACTTCAAGAGCTCAAGAGCTGAGCTCGAAAGACGCCTCGCACAGGCGCAAGAAGATGCCGAAGCGGCGCGAACTGCGATGACACAGCTCCAGAACAGTCTGGACGAAGGTGACAGGCAAGTCTCTAATCTGGAGAAAGAAAGACACGACCTCAAGAAGCAGCTTGAAGAGCGCGAAGCGCGTCTCGAGAGACTTCAGAAGTCTTCCAGGACCATGGCCGAAGAACTCCAACAACTCAAGAACTCAGCCAAGCTCCGACAGCAACCACAGACTGGATCCGGATCGTCGAGGACTTCGCTCGAGAGCGCTGGGAGATCTCGCATTACATCGCCCGCTCCTCGCCCTAGTACGAGCAACAGCACGAATCTGAGCGGAGCTCCGAGCGATATCAATTATGTCTATTTGCGACAGGTCTTGTTGCAGTTCTTGGAGCAAAAAGACAAGAAGTTTCAATTGCAACTTGTGCCAGTGTTGGGGAGACTGTTGCATTTTGATCAGGCGGAAGAGCAGAAGTGGACGGCGGCCATTGCTGCAAAGTAGTGAGGGCAGATGGCAAGCCGTGCGTAGTACATTTTGTCCTAGACATTGCATTGATGCCGGACGGATGTGCATGAGTGAGCATTGAGCAATCTATCGTTGCACAGAGAGGTAAACGGAGCGAACAGGCCTCCGTTGTATATATAGGCAGAAGTGAGCATTGCATTGCATCGCATTGCATGGCGGGTAGGCTCGATGAAAGTGAAAGCGGCGCGAAATTGGAGCGCATACATGTATCTGCTCAATAATACCGACTGAACGAGGACACTACGAGCATTGTATCTAGAAGCGTGTCTATCATTTGTCAAGCTGCTTGTCGACGATCCAGCCCACGCTCAATCGGGCGAGTCTCGGCTCCGTAACTGCCTTGCGAGTGTCTCGCCGGCGCCAGCTTCTCCTCGTCGGCCGTTCCTGCAGCTTTTGAGACACAGGAGAAGTCTAGAAGCATAGTTCTTGTGCTGTGCGTGAGATATCAGAAGCATGAATTGCGAAGAGTGTGATATATTACGAAGGATGGGATGATGTCGTCGTGCTTTGGTACCTGACTCAAGCAGCGTGGTGGTTGCCCAACATCCAATGCGAGCCAGCAGCTTGTGGATTCTCGTGACGTTTGGTCTCAATTGACCGTGCTCGATGGCTTTGTTCGCAGCATCACAGCTACGGGGCGAATCTGGCTGGGTGAACCGTGACCTTGTGGCACCGTGATCAGTGCTGGCGGCAGTTAATCGCGCACAGATGATAGAGCGCTGGGGACAAACGTGATGGAAGGGACGAGGAGGAATGGCTCGCGGTCGAGGTAGCCGTGCAAGCGCCAAAGTCAAGTCGTCAGTCGCTTCTTTTGTGGGAGTTGACCAGTTCTCATCTGCCCTCTCTGTACATTGCTATCTCCTGCGGACGTGCTGTTCCTGAGCCTGAGGGAGCACAAATCAGCGCCAGCTTCAGCACAGCCCTGGCCCTTCATCGACGTCAGAACGCCTCGAGGGCTTGCAGTGCCAGTCTGCATGGAACCGGACCTCTCGCGCATTAGTCCAGGCCTTCTTTTCTGCCCAATTCTGCGTTGGTCAGGGGACTGCTCTGCGCACACTCCCGCTGCCCGATCCACTTCCAGACGCGGTGGGAGCAGCGGCGGCGAACAGTAGCAGCAGTAGCAACCTCTTTTCTGACTTGGCCTGCGCGCCGCAATATATGCAGAGCGCATTGGTTCATGCACGGCCCCAGCAGAGGCAGACGATCACGATTGACGGCGGCGGCAAGCACCCAACACCTCGACAACGGCAGCGCTGCACCACAGCACAGCACAGCTCTCCGCGCGGCTAGCCAGCAGCGTCATCAGCACGGCCGGACAGCACGACTCGCATCTGAAGCACCCAACCGCACCCCACAACGTGCCCTCGCCATCCGCGCGCACGCATCACTCGTCGACTGCCGGCGCAGCAGCTTCGAGAAGCCAAGGTCACGCTGCCAGGTTTAACGACGCTCCTCACCGCCCCGCGCCCGACGCAGCCCCCTCGCCATGAACAGCGGCAGCGAGAGTCTTAAGAAGGCTGCCATCAACAAGGCGAAACAGGTCGCGAGCGGCGCCATCCCCAGCAACGGCAACAACAACAACAAGAGCCCCTCCACCGCCCCCAACAACGACCAGAACGGCAGCAGCAAAACCGGCCAGAAGCGGCGGAAGCAGGACCTGAAGCCGATCATCACCACCGAGCAGCAGCAGGCCGCTGGCGGCAACCCGTACAGGTGAGCACCCTTCCCATGTCGCCGCGTTGTTTGCGATGATTGTTGTGCGTTTGGCGAGCACAGCCTGCTACCGTCTCGTGCGACACGCCGGATCGCGCTGCGGACAGGCAAGCCTCTGATCTGTGTGTCTGTTGTCTGTTGCCCGCAGGCTTCGGCGCATCTCACATCATCGCCGCGCTCACACCCCGCCGAGACATTTTGACTCGCAGACTTTCCCACCGCCACCACCCCAACCTCGTCGACGCACGCACGCACGCACGTCTGCACGCACCCTTCCCCCACCGCTGCTGCTACTGCTGCCGCCACTCGCCTGACTCTCTGCACTCCGCAATGCATGTAGCCGCGAACATGCTCTGTGCGCCGCGACTACAGTAGAACAGACATGCTGATGCCAAACGCAAACAGTGCACAGAGCAATCCGTCGCCGCTCAACCACAATAAAGCCCAGTACGGCAAGGACCTCCACGAATCACCCAGCGAGTCAGAGTCCTCCGGCGACGAGGGCACCGAAAACACGGCGGACGAAGAGGATTCCGAAGACTACTGCAAGGGTGGCTATCACCCTGTGCAAGTAGGCGAACAGTACAACAATGGCAGGTACACAATAGTGCGGAAGCTCGGATGGGGCCACTTCAGCACTGTATGGCTGTCCAAGGACAACACCACCGGCAAGCACGTCGCTCTCAAGGTCGTCCGCTCCGCTGCACATTACACCGAGACGGCTCTCGACGAGATCAAGCTGCTGAATAAGGTTGTCGAAGCCAACAAAGACCATCCCGGCAGGCAACATGTCGTCAGCCTACTCGACTCCTTCAACCACAAGGGACCTCATGGTATGCACGTATGCATGGTGTTTGAGGTGTTGGGCGAGAACCTGCTCGGCCTGATCAAGAGGTGGAACCACCGAGGCATTCCCATGCCGCTCGTCAAGCAAATCACCAAACAAGTGCTTCTGGGTCTGGACTACCTTCACCGCGAGTGCGGCATAATACATACAGACTTGAAGCCGGAAAACGTCCTGATCGAAATTGGTGATGTCGAGCAGATTGTCAAGACATACGTAAAGGAGGACCCCAGCAAGGAAAAGGATGACCACCGCAATGGCCGCCGAAGAAGACGCACCCTCATCACCGGCTCTCAACCTCTGCCCAGTCCTCTGAATACCAACTTCTCGAACTCCGACCTCTCGAACTTCCCTGGCAGCACGGCGAGTCTCAACAAGATCGTCAACGAAAGCAAAGGTAATTCGCCCATCAAGGGAGCATCTCCGACCGGTGAGGGTGGTGCTGAGATGAGCGGTGCTATAGGGAGTCAACCAAAGTCGATGCTCGAGAGCCTTGGTATCAAGGCCGAAGGCGGCGATGCGACGAAAGATGCCGGAGCGCAGAAGGAGCGCGAAAAGACAGCGTAAGTCTGATCCACACTGCTCGCGAGGGCTTCGCTGAGCTCTGAACTAACAACAGACGCAGCGAAATCCTCGCCAACAACGTCTCCGATATGGATCTGGGCGGCTCGCACGCAGTCAAGCCCAAGGAGTTGGAGAAGCCCGACGATGGAATCGAAGTCATTTCCGTCAAGATTGCAGATCTGGGCAATGCGTGCTGGGTGGGACACCATTTCACCAACGACATTCAGACTCGACAGTACCGCTCACCTGAGGTCATCCTCGGCGCCAAATGGGGTGCCAGCACAGATGTGTGGAGCATGGCTTGCATGGTAAGAGGGGAGGAGCTTATCGTGGCGCAGCACGCCCAGCTAACCTTGGCCTCCAGGTCTTCGAACTCATCACGGGTGATTATCTGTTTGATCCGCAGTCTGGCACTAAGTATGGTAAAGACGACGACCACATCGCACAGATTATCGAATTGCTGGGCACTTTCCCTAAAAGCTTGTGCATCAGTGGTAAATGGTCACAAGAGATATTTAATCGCAAGGGCGAGCTGCGCAACATTCACAGGTTACGGCACTGGGCGCTTCCCGACGTCTTGCGAGAAAAGTACCATTTCTCAGTGGAGGAGGCTAAGAGAATCGGGGATTTCCTCCTGCCAATGCTCGAACTGCAACCTGCTGATCGAGCGAATGCGGGCGGAATGGCGAATCACCCATTCTTGGATGAGACAAAGGGAATGGATCGCATCAAAACGGATATCCAAGTTGGTAGCAAGGGTGATGGGATTGAAGGGTGGGCTACAGAGGTCAAGAAGGCGCGGTAGCAGCCGCGTTGGAACTGATCACCAATCGAGGGGCCGTGTGCTCGGGACGAGGGGAAAGAGCGGGCAAGGTGATGTTCCTCTTTGCCTGCTTCCTCCTGACTCCAATGGAGCCCGCGCAAGTTGTGGCCTTCGTGGCTACACTACCACGACGATGGATTGTCCTTGCGTTTTGGTTCGTCCTGTCTCTCTGGAGAAGCTGCACTCGTTCTGCTGCTATCACTGCCAACCTTTTGTCTATACCACCATGATCATCAGAAGCAGCAACAGAAGAAGGACGCTTACGATCGTCATCGTTCATTCACCCACGATATACATACACTCTTTTCTCAGTTTCTTCTTTCGCACTCGTATGGCTTGGTGCCGCGAAGTGAGACTCTGACGATGTGGTGTAATAAATGTAACGTGTGGCGATTTCACAATCCGCTGCGATGTGGTGGACAAGATCTCTGCCTCAGTGATGAGGACAATGTGGGGAGACGTGTGGTTTGATGAATGGTGTGAGTGGCCAATCATGCTGTCCTGGCAGTATCGTACGTTGGAGGCTGCAACATAACATGACATGATTGAATACGCAGCCATGTGCAACACGTGATGAGATCTCGAGCTTCCGATGGGCTGTGCGAAAGAGACTGGGATCAACGTTGGTCGAGAACTTGCGATGTTGAAGACAATCGGAGGCGAGATCTTCAATTGTTCCGATTGTTCACCGTTTGTTACAGTACAAATAGCTGCACTGGTGAAGATCGCGACATACGCTGCTATGCAGCATTCACGACAAATCCGCACTGCTTGATAGGCTGCAGTGATCAAGCATCTGTACAGGATGCTATAGTATGCCGTGAAGAATTGAAGGCGATTCCAACCAATGCGAGTTCCAATGTTGAATGCGTGGTGCGTGGAATAAAAAGTGGGTCCTCGCCACCCTGGACTAGCGGGATGCTCTTTCGCTGGTTGGGTCCCTGAAACGGCAATGGGGCTCTTGTGCTGCTCCGCCAAAAATCGTAAGATGGTTTGCCTCAGTGCCTCGATAATTAAAGTTGTTTTGGGCCGCCCTTACCTCTTCTCTCTCTAACCATTCTGAAGACACACCACTTCACCTGTGAGTGAGAGATACCGCCATCATGGCGACGACATTCGGAATGGATTACTTTTCGAGCCTGTGAGTATCTCCCTGCTGCTCGTTGCATCCCTGCTGGATTGTTGGTGGTGGTGGTGCGAGGGAGGATTTGTTCCTGCATTGAGGATCGGCCGACTTTTTGCACAACTCGAAAGGAGGAATCGGATACATGCAATGGAATTGCCATTGTCGGATGCTCGAATACAGGAGCAGTTTGGCTAACGTATCGCGCTCACAGCAATGTCACGACACAGTCGATCGCCGACGCGATGCTTCCGCACACCACGAATACCTACTGGCACGAATTCGAGGAAATTTCAAAGTACAACGTCAGCCTGAACTACCTTGAGAAACTGTGGGCGGCGTGGTACGCTTTCATGGGAAACGATGCGTTGGCTACGGGAATCATGAGCTTCGTCATGCATGAGACGGTATACTTTGGACGCAGTCTGCCTTGGATAATCATCGACCAAATACCGTACTTTAATCAGTACAAGATCCAGCACGTACGTTTATATGGAGAGAAGAAATAAGAGAAGGATTGGGCACTGACGATTCTACAGAACAAAATCCCTTCTGCGCGGGAACAGTGGGATTGCGCTATGCTCGTATTGCTGAGCCATTTCACTGTCGAACTTCCTCAGATCTGGCTCTTTCACCCCATGGCACAATACTTTGGTCTCTCGACTTCGGTACCTTTCCCTCCGATTTGGAAGATGGCATATCAGATTGCGATTTTCTTCGTTCTCGAGGATACATGGCATTACTGGATGCACCGCGCGATGCATTGGGGTCCTCTGTACAAAAACATTCACAAGATTCACCACCAGTACTCTGCTCCATTCGGACTGGCAGCAGAGTATGCTTCGCCTATTGAAGTTATGGTGCTTGGAATCGGAACTGTTTCGTCACCAATCTTATGGTGCGCGCTTACGAAGGACTTGCATATTCTGACAATGTACATCTGGATCGTGCTCCGTTTGTTTCAGGCTATCGACGCGCATTCTGGATACGAATTCCCGTGGAGTCTGCACCACTTCTTGCCTTTCTGGGCCGGAGCTGATCACCACGACACACATCACGAGAAGTTCATTGGCAACTACTCTAGCTCTTTCCGATGGTGGGACTACTTCCTTGACACGGAGAGTGGCCCAGAGGCCGCGAGAAGGCGAAGGGAGAAGCGTCTGGCGAAGTTGAAGAGCCAGAAGGCGCAGTAGTCGAATCGAAATATGAAGGTGAAATGATACCACAGTGGAACGGGTTTGAGTGCGCACTTCGAGCGGGCGTTTTCATTCCTGTCTTTAATGCATGAGATTAGGTCTCTTGAAAGAAAGAGTGAGCATGAGTACGCTGTAATTTGTACATATAGTCATATTTCGTGACACAGAAACAGTACTCTCTGAAATAAAATAGAGGTCGTCGCAAGACCAGGTCGTGCAGCTTTTACACATGTTTATCAAATGTACTGAACTTCTCCTGTTTCAATCCATTGAGGGAGTTCGTAGTTCCTCGATCAACGTCGCGTTCGTGGTGGAGATTTTGACCGAGATCTCTTGGAAGGAAGCTTCATCGTCCCACCCCAGATCTCACGCATGCAAGCTTTCCTTCCGCATACGTCACACGGTTTGCTCTCGACATCAACAGCATTGAACATTGCATGCGTTGTGCATGCACGCGTGACGCTGCATACGATCTCCGAACGATACTCTCTCGAATTTTGGACCGGGCGAACAACACACAGCATGCTCTGCTAATAACGACACTGAGAACGGAGACTGCAAACCATGTCTTTCGTCCTAGACCAAGTCCGTCGAATCGACGCGCAACTGGACCGTTTGCAGCTCGCGAATCTCGATACTGCGACCGCGGCTGGGAGGAGTGGAAGTACTTCATTGAGGACTGCAGCGGATGGAAATGATGATGAAGATGATGATGGGGAACAGCGAAGAAGTGAAGAGCAGGATTTAGAAGATGACTTTCCAAGTCAGAATCAGAGACAAGGATATGGCGATGATGTCTCAATTGGAGCGATCTTACCTAGTAAGCGCGTCCTGGCATTACAGAGTGCGATTCGTGGACTAGCGCCTGGGAGAGCGGATAGTACGTCTCGAGCGCTGTTGAAGCCAGGGCAAATACTGGCGACGTTGGCGGCGTTGACGTCGCAGCAAAAGCAGGAGAGAGCGGCACAGGTGGGAATTGTGCTTGGTGGTGAAGATGCAGGAGAACAGCAAGATGGAGCGGAAAGTACAGAAGAGGAGGCTAAGAGCGAGTTGGAACAAGAACTGGAATGGTTACTGGTCTCGAAAGCTACGACACAAGTCTATGGGCACGTTCTCGGATCAATACTCGATGAGGCTGTTCAATTGAGTGATGATATTTGGTATTGGGATGAAGTGCTCGGGAGCCAAAGATATACGGCTTTGTACAGTGTGCAGATTTCGCCCTTGCGACTGTGGGATTTTGGAAGTGCAGTGTGGAGTGATGCCAGAAAGCGAGCGGAGCAGCGCAACTTCGGTATCGCGAGTGCTGGTCAAGAGGCGAGGGATTCAATTTCGCAGCAGTGGAGTGTTTTCTATGGACTGGTGAAACAGGTCGCAAAGGAGAAGAGTGGGAGGGAGGTGAGGGCGAGGATTCTATCGCCTGTCACGAGGGTCAGATCGGAAGTCAGAGCAAAGCAGAGTGCATTGAAAAAGGTGCGGCTGAGGAATGCGAATGCTCTGGGAGTCTTGCTCGGAGAGGGACTGGCGAACGAGAATGTGGGCAGTCATGACTCGATGCATCATGCTGGGGGTGATGGATTAGGGAGTCCACCGGCCACCCAGGATGTGCAGCAGAAGTGGAGAGCTTCAGTTTCGAGAAACGTGGCTTTGATGGAAGCGGTGCTGGCCAAGGTCAACGACTTGAAGACGCCTATTGATAAATTCGACTCTGCAATTGCTACGCTGACGGACGACGACCCGCTGTTCAATGTCGATTCCAGCGATGTCGGACTGGCGCCGCAGGCTGTTGCTGAGAGGTTGTCGAGGGTGTTGACGCTGGGCCTGGGACAGTATACGACTTCTGCGAGAAGTCTGAAGAAGCAGCATGGCCGACCATCGAAATGGGTGCGATATTGGTTGCCGATCACCCTCGGAGTGATCTCATCAAGCACGCTACTCCGAATTCTGGTCAACCGACAGGCAGAAATTGTACAGTGGGTCGAGGATCTCGGTGCGACTGTCGTCGATTTCTGGCAGAACTGGGTCGTCGAGCCGACTCGTAATGTGATTCGGACGATCCGCCACGACGAAGGAAGCGAGATCAGTATCATGTCAAAGCGATCCCTCGAAGGCGATCGCGAAAGTCTGGAACGCATGGTCGTGGATTTCGCTGTCGATGTGCCTGCTACTGCAACAGAGACTGGATCACCGCTCACCGAGGCTGAAATTGCAGACATTCGTGCCAAAGTCAGGGAAGGAGATCTGACGCCTGTCTTGAAAGCCTATGAGAAGGATCTTTCCAGCCCATTGAAAGGAGCGATGCGGGGCAACTTGATTCGAGCACTGTTGATTCAAGTGCAAAAGACCAAAGTCGATGTGGAGATTGCCATGGGTGGGATTGACTCTTTGCTCAAATCGCAAGAGCTGCTCATTGGCTTCATCTCACTCACGCCCGGTCTGCTTGTGGCGTACGGATTCACACGCTGGATGCGGACTTCCTTTACGCAGAAACGCGGCACGAAGGCGCAACGTAAACATGGCGTTATGCTTCATCAGCTGAGAAACATCGATCGCATCCTCACCTCTGCCACCGCCACGGATTACGGCGAGCTGCAATACAAAGACCAAGGTCTTCTGCTGTGTGAAGTGCATGTGCTCCGACAAGCGGCTATCAAGATCATGCCTAGGGAGATATATCGTGAATTTTCCGAAGAGGCGGATGAGCTGTGTGATGTCAGAAAGGGCGTCCTGAGGCAGAAGGCAGTGCTTGAACGAGTGCGATGGGCCTATGGGCGGTGGTTAAGCTGATCGATCACGACTGCTGACCATGACAATTTCGTTGTAGAAGTCAGAATGGCGACTTTCTGCATGCGTTGCAGACCACAGAGTCGGAGAAAGAAGCAACGGGCCCGAAGCTGGGTGGCCACGGCTTTAGCGATGGTTGTTTGGCGGCTGTCTTTGTCTTGCGGTTCTTCCGGCACCTTGGCTTCGGTCACGTAGCAGAGCTGGACATTATTCGCGTATACATTGTTGCGGTCTCGCCGGGAGTGAGCAGCATGGTTCGATGTTGGCAGGCAACAGGATGCCAAGGACATGACGGCGCGATGAAGGCAGCGGGATAACGAGGGATGTATAGATAGATGTCGTCGATGAGTACTGTTGTTATCATTCACCTGTTCCAGTCTCGTACAAGTGTGAGAGTGCTGTGCAAAGAAGAAGAAGCAAGTGGACGCAGCACGTGCATGCCAAGGGCATCTGGCATCGGGCGACATCATCAGCAGGTGCAGGTGCAGGCAGTTGGGCGCTGGGGGGCTGCAGGAGCGCCGACTGGATTTGGATTGCGCCTCACACACACCGCGCCCAGCGACACGACGTGCCCCAAAGTGACCGCCTGCTGCCAACTTCCTCTTCCACTCCCACTCCGCTGTCCGCCACACACACCACCCGCCCACCGTTTTGTGCCGGCCGCTGCAGCACAAACACCGAACACTTGTCCCCCGGCTGCTCGTGGTCTCCCGCTCCCACCGCAAGAGCACCTGCTAGCTAGCACGCCGCCAGTCCCCTCGTGCCTGCTGTTGGCACCGCGGCTCTCGGCGCTCCGAACGTGACTTTCTTATCACGACACCGAGTCAACCACACGCAACCAAGCGAACGCTTTCAGGGTCCGACCCTCCTCCGCTCCACTCCCCTCCCCCTCGACTTGTCACCTCTGTTCCAGCATACTGGCAAAGAAGGCAGCGACAGACACAGAACCAGGGAGCGCGCGCACTATCGGTGATATCGGAGTTTCTGTTCAGCACCACGACCAAGGCGGCTTTCACGTCCCACCAGAACATTCACGAAGCGGCAGTATCGACCAGCGCACGACGGCTACGAGTTCGACAGACAGACAGACATCATGGCTGGAACACGGAATTATGACTTTCTTGTAGGTGGACCTCTCCTTCCGATCACAACTGTGTGCGCTGGTAGTGGCGGTGAAATTGAAGGCGGCAGCAAGAGCTGAGGAGTCGGTGAGAGGGTGGATCATGATGTGTCGTCGTGCTGGGCCTTTCCAGTATGAGTGAGCAGGCAGCTGGACACGGCAGCGCGCACATGAAAACATGGGGGAATGAAGACGGACATGACTGGACATATTGCTGACCTCGTGCTCTGTCCTCAGATCAAATTGCTCCTTATTGGCGACTCAGGCGTAGGCAAGTCCTGCTGTTTATTGCGCTTCTCCGAGGACTCCTTCACGCCTTCCTTCATTACCACTATCGGCATCGACTTCAAGATCCGAACAATCGAGCTCGACGGCAAGAGGGTGAAGTTGCAGATATGGGACACTGCGGGCCAAGAACGCTTCCGCACAATCACGACGGCATACTACCGAGGCGCAATGGGCATCTTACTGGTTTATGATGTGACAGACGAGAGAAGTTTCAACAGTATGTCTAGCTACATCTGCTCTGCGCATAGCAAACAGTTAGCTTGTATGCATCCAGCCAGATCGACCAACTAACCTGTGACCAGACATTCGAACATGGTTCTCCAACGTTGAGCAACACGCTACTGAAGGCGTGAACAAGATCCTCATCGGCAACAAATGCGACTGGGAAGAGAAGCGTGCCGTATCCACGGAACAGGGCCAGGCACTCGCAGACGAGCTCGGAATTCCATTCATGGAGGTCTCAGCAAAGAGCAACATCAACGTTGACAAAGCATTTTACAACCTCGCAAGCGATATCAAGAAGCGCATTGTGGACACCCAACAACCCGCGCAAGGTGGTCAGCAAGGTGTGAGTGTAGGCGGCCAACAAGGCGCTGCAGGAGGCCTGGGAAAGAACTGTTGTTAGAGGGAATTATAGAGAAGGTATGCGTGTGTCATTGTGGTTGTTCTTGTGGATATGGGCATTTCGGGAAAGTGTTGGATGGGAAGGGGCTTAGAGTGAAAGTGGCGAAAGGCAAAGCAAGACCAGCAGTACAGCAGCAGCTGCTGATGATGTTATGCAGGTAACGCAGCAGATTGTTTATTTCCTTCTTCCCTTTCTTGCTCTTTCATCAGTCTTTTCGATCTTGGGTTCGCTTCTGGCTCCTTGGTTGAGGCTTTTATTGGGTGAGCGAATTGTTGATAGAGAATAAGTGGGCGTTGCGCTTTAGTTATTATCAAGGAGAGTAGACTGCGGTGGCGGAATGTTTGAACGTCTGACACATGTAATTCCTGCCAACCTGCGGCATGCATTGAATTGCTTCGAGCATACATAGTATAACACCTCCCGCCTGGCGCGAGCGAATATATACAATATGAAACAGTAACAAAAAACGATACCAAAGGAAAATAATGCCAATCGTAGCTGGCTCAGCCTGAGATAGATAGTATGATGATGATGTGAGGTTTTCCTTCTTGCCCTCTGTATGGGACCTGATAATCATTCTTATCCCCAATGTCATGTTTCTTCCAAACAGCGCATTATCTTTCCTTGATCTAATTGTCTAGTTGTATGAGGCTGGACCAGGATTGTCTGCAACAAGTGCAGTCAGTATTACTCATGCTCTCCCCTTACGCACCAACTCCAAAGAAAGCTGATCAGCAAGGAGACGTACTGGCGGGCGCTGCCGGTGCAGCTGGCGCTGGAGCTGGAGCTGGTGCAGGTGCAGGTGCTGACGCTGGCACCACTGGAGCTTTGCATGTTGGAGGTTCCACCGTGTCGCAATACTTCTTCTCATCGTTCCACCATTGACCCGCACGGCATGGCCTTTCATACGCGATACCGGTCTCGTACGTCGTGTCTTTGGGCTGGCATTGAATGTATCCGAGGCAGTCTCCTGGTAGTGCGTACAGGCAGTCGAAGGGTCCCATACAGTGTGTTCGTTTCATGTCTTCGGGCGGGCAGATAAAGTCTTTGTTGACGCCAGGCTTTTCTTGTTGTTGAGGCAGTGCGGATGCGGAGAGCGCTGTCGCCGAAAGGACGGCGAGGTGGAAGAGGCCGTACATGGTGGTGTGATGAGTTGAAAGTGGCGAATAATAAACGAGTGTACTGCCGCTTAGTGTTGTCCTGCAACAGAGGCTCTGGTGGTTGACGATGTGCGTCTTTCTAGTCACTTTTGGGAAAAGAGTGGTGGTGAAGGGTGGAAGTGCGGCGGTGCGTCGTTCGAACTGACTGCGACGTCCTCCTCATCTCGCATTGCCGTCTTGGTGAACCCTGGTCAACTTTGTCCTTGTGCCTAGCAAGGATCTGGCAAATTACCACACCATGGTTTGATTTTGAACATCTTCCGCACAGCCTATTGCGGACAAGCATCGGGCTGCAGAAACCCGGAATGGGTGATCACTGGTCGTGTGTTTGTCGGACACAGCGTCATGATCTTCGTTGTCTCCAGGCGGAGTTTTGTGCTGTGGTTGCCCTCGACGTTCTGTTAGGGCAATGCACTTCGGACTGATGACTCAGCGACGTTGTCCTTTCAGCGTTTGCCTTGCAGCTGACCTGTTTACCCGGAAGACTGCTGTGCACCAACCACGAAGTGTAATTGCCAGTGCCTTTGTACATGTCCGTGTCATGTTCGCGACGTATGCCAAAATACGATCGCAACATGATCAAGCAGACACAACGGATGTGGAGACGACAACCTGCCTGATGTCGTTGGTGGTTCGGACTGGCACTCATTCTGTGGCTGATGACTGAACATCCCAGCACAATACTAGGCAAGACGCCGAGCAGTTGGCGCTACTCCATCATAGATTGTGAGGATTGATGCTGGGCTCATGTTCCTTTGGTGGGACTTTCAGTAGAGGTAGTGATGCTTCTTTGTCTTTGCAAGCACCCACTTTCCATAGGCGTAGAGCCTCACGTCACCTGAAGCGCTCTGCCCAGAGATCGAAGCTTGTATCCAGGTCTTGCCTTCATAGTTTAAAGTCTGTGCTTGGACGTGCACAATTGTTCCAGGAAGAACATGTTCGATGCTGTCGTAATTGTAACCAAGTTCGACTTCTTCGGCCGCTGAGCCAGAACCGGAGAGCAGTCTACTCACTGCGTCCTCGAGCGATGTTTCGAGGAAGTCTTCGTATTCGCAAGGTCGTGATGGCAGGCGCTGAGTCCATTGGATGGTCTTCGGCGTGGTCTTGTGGGTTGGGAGGCCGGTACTGCTATGTGTCATACGGTAGCACTTCTCGGCGAAGGAGTATCTGCTTGGCCGTATGTCTCGATGACTAGCGACTAGTGCCATCGTTGATGATGGATCTTCGAACCCTTAAGAAGTGGTGGAGGTTCGTGTTAGGGTCTTTTTGTTAGTCTGCAAGAGAAGTAGTGATCAGCGTATCTGGAGTGGCGATGCATCCTTCTTAAGTCATTCGAAATCTGTCATAGCACGATAGTGGTGTCTCAATGCGGTAGGCAGTCTCTGCTCTTCTTTTGAGTTTGAGGTCCGCATGCACAGCATGTATGGTCTGACCTTCATCACTTCCGAAGCTCTGTAGCCAATGAGAACCCGTCTTCCTGGCCGGAAACTCGCTCCTTAGGTGCAATTGTCATTGCGGGTAACTGCCACGTTGGTGCAGGGCTGCCGTATGACAGATGCTTTGCAAGCTCGATGGCGGTCGGGATGCTGTCCGCCGTGACACGGAGCATTTTCCAAGGAGATTCTATGCAGGTTTCCATAGGAACTCCTCGCTTTCGCCGAGTCCAGTTCACTAATCGACTCCTTCGTGGGAATGCCAGCGGCAGTCTTGCTCCACTTTGCTCAGGGCTCAGGAAGAGAATTTGCTTCGAAGGCTTCGCCTACATACCTGCAGCCAGATCATCTAGTGTCATGCAGCGAAGGTTCCATACGCTCCTTCATGATCACTCGAGCTTCACGATCACGCCTCCGAGCCTCTACTCAGCCTTGCGCAATCCTGCGGCCCTTTGGTGGTCCGCCGATACTGTTGTGCATCCTATAAGCAGGCACGTCCACCGCCTCCGGACAGACCGATGCAATCTTCCGCCGTCAGCATTGGGAATAACTCGCCTCGGCACGGTCATCAAACGGCACCGGGGTGGCGTGACGGTAGGCTGCTTGTGTGAGCGCAGGATGGAAAGTGTGCACGAAAGGCGATGATGAGTTGTATCAGCAGCCCGAAGTCCTCGTCCCTCGACTTGACAAGCGACATCGGAACATGGTTCCACCGACATGAGCACCACCTGCTCTTCTCCCTTTCACCCACTCTCCTTGCCCCATCATCTCAAGTCGATGTTCTGGAATCCCCTCCGTATATGCGCCATGGTCATGCACACCATTGTTAGGGCCAGCGGGCAAGCAGAAATCCTGCTGCAGCCTGCTGACAGCATACGCGGCACCTGGTTGAGGCGCCTTCCTGAATGGGAAGGTCGTTATCGAGAGCTCGACATATACACCTCCAAGTGCGCCTGCGACGCGTCAAACTACTGCAGCGCAGTGTTTCAGCTTCTCACGAATACCTGTTCTCACACCGCAAGCTGTCTTAGCTCCCTGATGGGCCCGTGAGGCATTCAGAGCTGTACGACCTAGATCCGTCGCGGCAAATTGGAGTATGAGCGACCGCCCTCAGCACGATTCGCCTCGCAAGACCACATCTTAGAGATGAATTTTCGAAATGAGGAGTGAGAAGAGTCGCCCCAGGAATGCTGTTGATTATCATGCACGCTATCTCATAACTTCGTGTCCGTTCGAAACGCTTTGCCCTAGGGCCCATTCAATGCCATGCTCACCTCACAACATGATGACGCCAGCTGCCAAGCCCAACAGACCAGCAGCTGCACCGACAGCTACTTTTCCGGCCGGGCTGTCGCTTTGTGTAGAAGCTGGGGCACTAGAGTCCGTTGCGCTCTGTGCATCACTCTCCGTCGTCTCGCTTCCGGTCGGCTCGCTGTCCGTGGCACTGATCGTAGTAAGTCCGGTCTCTGTGCCTGCCAGAGTCGTCGTAAGGGAGACTGTCGAGTTATTGATAGCTGTGATGTTGCCTCCCGTGCCGCCCGTAATGATGACCTGAGTAGTCATGCTTCCTGTCTCTGTGCCAGTGGCCGCTACACTCTGCCCACAAACTGGGGTGACAGTCAAAGGTCCAGTGCGGATACTGGTGTCGGTTTGAATGGAGAAGACCATGTCGCCTTCGGGAATGCAAGCTACACCAGTGGCGGTGACGATGTCGGGAGTGGCTGGTGCAGATCCAGTCACAACGTTGTCGGTTATGGTGACTGTCGGGATGGTGTTGAGGTCGATCGACGACGGAGTGTCATCTTGAGCGAAGACGACTCCCGCGAAAGCGGCAGTGAGAGCGATCTTGCGAAGCATGATTGTTTCGTGATGAGTCGTTTGCTGGGGTAGAGTTGTGTTCTGAAGATAAACAAGCGTTGGTGTTGCTTGACTGTTGCCTTGACCGCCTGGGACACCTCGGGTAATTCTTGTACTGAATCAGGCTGCGTCAAGAAGAAGAGTGAGAAGCAACCTTAACACTTCAGTTCGTGCGTATGTGCGTACGTATATCACTACAAAGAAAGAGGTACCTGCCAAGCCGTTCGCCCTCTGAAACACTCGGGATGCATGAAGTCCAGCAGCTTCAGCTGCTGCTCGGAGGGCCAAGAAAAGGCAGTGACGTCCACCGGTCTGTGCGAAGGTGGGGAAGCGACCATCTCAACTGCTACCTGCCTTCAACTGGTCAAACCCGACCACAGATCGGCGAGCGGACGCGTTATGCTTCGACGGTCGGAAGCATTGTTCGTGTTGATTGGAATGGTCCAAGGTGCAGGTGATACGGCGGTGGTAGTACTCCTATCGGAAGGTGGCAAGGCTTGCATGGCTTGGCTTCAGCGGGTGACGTGCCTTGTACTTCAACAACACAAGTGCAGCTCGAAACAGAGTGCCTTACTTCCGAGTGAGAGACATCTCGTGTCGCAAAATGCTACCAAAGGATCAGGTCGACCGAAATACTTCTGAATGCTCAAGCGCAATGATGCACAGAATATCAGCGATGATTGAAGATCATCTAGACTGGCCACCTCTGGGATTCCATGTTTCAGTGTCGGCAGTTCCGAGCCACTCATATCTGGTCGAAGACATACCAGCACTCACGTCCTTACAATGATTAAGACTAGCCACAATTGCACACAGATATTGTGGGGTCGCAAGATCTGGTGCAGAGAGAGGCTGATCAATCGGAGTCATGGACTGCACGCCGTCGGACAGCGGGTACGGCATAATATAGCACCACCTCCTATGTCTTGTAACACGGATGTTGGCCACTCTTCATCATGCGGGATCCGACTCTTTCATCTCCGCTGAACTCGTAAAGTCGCTGCGAGACCATATTCGAGCTGACGCTGATGTTGAGACCTTGTCGTACCAGGGCTTTTCTCGTGGCTTTGTACTCGACGCTGTCATGCTGGTTGTGCCTCGAGGCACAAGATTGCACATGATGAGGTACGTGTCGTTGATGGCTTTGTGCTACACCCAAGGAGCGAGCCGCGAATGTTATTAGGTATCCTGCATCGCCTGCTGTTCAGAAGGTGACAAAATGTCCCGAGCTCAATCAGCAGAGTACGGAAGTATGCTTCTTCTCCTCCCATTCACTGAACGCTCCATATGGCTTGCAGCTTATACTTCATCTTTGTCAGTAGGATCGAGTCTCAATGAGATAAGTCAGCAAGTCGTTCAGGTTCTTCGTTGTCATGCTGTCCTTGTGCAGTGCTTGACGGTACCTGCATATATCACTCGTGGTCTTTCCCAAAGAGGTGAGACTTCCCCCGCCAAGTCTCACGCTCTCACCACGACAAAAGAGGTGACGCTACGCCCGGACAACGGGTCGCTTGATGCTCAAGACCATAGGGCGGGGACTTGTCGTCCAGTCCAAGTAATCAGAAGCCCGCCGTTATCAGCATTGGATCCACGACAAGCATATGGAGATGGCGGAGGGTAGCAAAAAGTGAGCGGATCGGATATTGCGGGCACTTTGATTGGACCGGCAACGGAGGCCGGGGCGTGGCATTGTCAGTTGATCGTGAGACAGCGGTACGAGGATGCAAATGTTAGGTAACAAGTATATAACGCGTCGAATAACATTTTGCGGTGACCGAGCGAAACTGCCTTCTCTTGCTGCCAACTGCTGGTCGTTGTCGTGCTCGCGGCGGGTTTGTGTCACAACACTTCCGGCTACCGGCGGGTGAACTGATAAGAGATAAAACGCGTGCCTCTCGGCGATCGACGTGCGACTAAGAGCTGGTTGAATCAAGCTCCCCGAACTCTCTGCAACTTTTTCCAAGACACGCGGCGGAGGAGGATTTCGTGCTGCATACACGACTTTTGAGGGGACTTCCGAGGGGCTTGCCATTGTTTGCACAGCTTTGTTGCTCGTGGTACAGCTTGCGGACATTTCCCCAGCCTTCCCCACCACGACTGCGATTGTTGAGCTCGACAGAAAATCGGTCTGCCAGCAGCAGGCGGATTTCCAGTGAGGAGAAGCAGCATGGCGACAACCGCTCTGCGCCTGCGGGCACAGTGGCTCGCCACCAGACGTCCACTGTCTGCGCAATGCCTTTATCGACCGACGAACCGATTGTGCACCGTTCGAGCGTACCACTCCTCGCCAGCAGATGCGGAATCTGCTCGCACTCGATCGCGGGGCTTCTACTCGAGTGCGCAGACGACAAATGGCGATCTGGAGGTCAAGAGCCATGACTCTTCCATTTTCGCACCTCTCGATACCTTTCCACGCCGCCACATCGGGCCGACCGCTTCCACGACGGAGGAGATGCTCCAAGCTCTCGACCCTCCAGTGAAGAGCTTGGATGAGTTTGTCAAGCAGGTTCTCCCAGAGTCCATCCTGACGAGCAAAGACCTCAATGTCGAGGGACCAGTTCCCGAGTCGGGCTCTGTGCCCACGACTGAGGGCGGCTATTCGGAGAGCCAGCTGTTGGCCCGCCTGAAGCAAATCGCGAGCGAGAACAAAGTGTACAAGTCGTACATTGGATGCGGATATGCGGGAACCCGCGTGCCTGAAGTGATCAAGCGTAACATCCTGGAGAACCCAGCATGGTACACCAGCTACACTCCATACCAGCCGGAGATCAGCCAGGGTAGGCTGGAGTCGCTGTTGAACTTCCAGACCATGGTGACAGATTTGACTGGATTGGCCATTGCAAATGCATCTCTGCTTGACGAGCCGACAGCCGCCGCTGAGGCAATGACGTTGGCTATGAACTCGCTGCCAGCATCGCGCCTCAAGAAGATGGAGAAGAAGGTGTGGTTGGTTTCTCACCTCGCCCACCCGCAGACCATTGCCGTTCTTGAGAGCAGAGCACAAGGGTTTGGTATCACCATCGAGGTGGCGGACATCCTTGCAAACGACTCTAAGCGTGTCGATGAGCTTGGCGACAGCCTGCTCGGTGTTCAGGCACAATATCCAGACACACTGGGAGGCGTCGAAGACTACAGAGCTCTCGCAGACAAAGTGCACAAATACCAGGGCACTTTTGCAGTCGGCACTGATCTGCTCGCCCTGACGCTTCTCACACCACCCGGCGAGTTCGGCGCAGATGTTGCGTTTGGTAATGCTCAGCGATTTGGCGTACCTTTCGGCTTCGGTGGTCCACACGCTGCCTTCTTTGCAGTCAGTGACAAGCACAGCCGAAAGATTCCTGGTCGTCTCATTGGTCTATCGAAGGATCGTCTCGGAAACAATGCCGCCCGTCTCGCACTGCAAACACGCGAGCAGCACATTCGGAGAGAAAAGGCCACCAGTAACGTCTGTACCGCACAAGCACTCTTGGCCAACATGAGTGCAATGTACGCCATCTATCACGGTCCTGAAGGTCTGAAGAAGATCGCCGAGAAAGTTGCAAAGATGACACAGGTACTTGCAAAGGGTCTGCAGAGCGGAGGCCTGGAGGTCCGCCAGCCAGTCGCATTCGACACAGTCGTCGTGAAGAAGCATGATGCCCCAGGCTTTGCGGCCAAGAGCGTGGCCAACTTCTTGACCAACTTCCGCGTTATCGACAACGACCACATCGGTATCACCATTGATGAGACTGTTGGCAAGAAGCAAATCGATGAAATCTTCAAGGCTTTCACCACTGATCCTATCGATGTCGAGGCCCTTGCTCGAGGAGTTGAGGCAAACTCTCAGGTTCCTGAATCGCTAAGACGAACTTCTGAGTTCTTGACACACCCGGTCTTCAACTCCTACCACTCTGAGACCGAGATTCTTCGCTACATGCACCACTTGCAATCGAAGGATCTGTCACTCGTGCACTCCATGATTCCACTGGGATCTTGCACAATGAAGCTCAACGCAACGACCGAAATGCTTCCCGTTACCTGGCCCGAATTTGCCACCATTCATCCTTTCGCGCCGAGCGACCAAACCAAGGGCTACCAGACTCTGATCAAGGAACTCGAGGATGATCTTGCTGAGATTACTGGCTTTCACTCCGTGTCGTTGCAACCTAACTCCGGTGCTCAAGGAGAATTTACTGGTCTACGTGTCATCCGCAAGTACCAAGAGCAGCAGCCTGGCAAGAAGCGTGACATTTGCCTGATTCCAGAATCCGCTCATGGTACCAACCCAGCGTCTGCTGCGATGGCCGGAATGCGTGTTGTGACAATCAAGTGCGACACCAAGAAGACGGGCGATCTCGACATTGCAGATCTGAAGGCTAAGTGTGAGAAGTACAGCGAGGAGCTTGGCGCTTTCATGGTCACCTACCCTTCCACATTCGGTGTTTTCGAGCCAAAGGTCAAGGAAGCCTGCGATATTGTGCATCAGCATGGCGGACAGGTCTACATGGATGGAGCGAACATGAACGCTCAAATTGGTCTCTGCTCGCCAGGCGAGATCGGTGCTGATGTGTGCCATTTGAACCTGCACAAGACCTTCTGCATTCCACACGGAGGTGGTGGACCTGGTGTAGGACCAATTGGTGTTGCTGAGCACCTTGCTCCTTTCTTGCCAGGTCATCCTTTGGTTGCCAACGTTGGAGGTGAGAAAGCTATCGCACCAGTCTCCGCTGCACCATGGGGCTCTGCCAGCATTCTGCCAATCTCCTGGGCATATATCAAGATGATGGGTGCCCGAGGACTCACGCATGCGACCAAGATTACATTGCTGAACGCAAACTACATCATGTCGCGTCTGCAGGAGAATGGCGAATACGACATTGCTTTCACCAACGCAAATGGACGCTGTGCACACGAGTTCATCCTCGACACGAGAGGCTTCAAGAAGTCTGCCGGAATCGAAGTTATCGATATCGCCAAGCGTCTGCAGGACTACGGATTCCACTCACCGACCATGTCATGGCCAATCGCCAATACTTTGATGATTGAGCCTACCGAGTCGGAGTCCAAGAGCGAGCTTGATCGCTTCTGCGATGCGTTACTGTCCATTCGTGAGGAGATTCGCGAGATTGAGAATGGCTCACAGCCACGCGAGGGAAATGTGCTCAAGATGGCTCCTCACACTCAGCAAGACTTGATCACGTCTGAGTGGGATCGACCGTACAGCCGAGAGAAGGCGGCTTACCCACTAGCGTGGTTGAAGGAGAAGAAGTTCTGGCCCAGTGTCACCAGACTGGATGACGCGTACGGTGACACGAATTTGTTCTGCAGGTAAGTTACTCCATGTGTTGCAAGTTTTGTTTGTTGGACTTGAGTCACTAACGTACGTTACAGTTGTGCTCCAGGCGGCACCGTTGAGGACCAGCCGGTTCAGTCGACATAGTCGACACAGCCTCTTGTGTCTCGTTTCTCCCGAACCTCAAGCCACAGCATCTGATGCTTGCGACTTGAGGCTTGGTGGGACCACAGGGCACTTTTCAACACTTTCGAGATAGTACACCTGCCTATGGGCTTTCAACAGCGTTCAAGCGAGGCGTTCAACAGAGGGGAATCGGGTATGACACCGGGCTAGGTCATGGTCTTTTTTAACATTGGTCCCAAAGTTTTAACATGGGATGGACGAGTTGTAATGAATCAGAATTCAACTGAATCGACAGTGAGAAGAGCTAGCGACGTTGCACAGGCTCAGAACGAAGATTCAAACAGCTCTATCGCTTTTTCTTTTCTCCACTTGTCCCGCCATGCCGTGGTATCAGTGCGCTAAAATGTCATGAAAATGATTGCCTGTCCACAATCGTGCCCCGAAAATCTACAACTTTCCGCCCACAGCTCCTCCGGTCTTGGTCATCTGGTCCATCCTTCCTGTCCCTCGGCTTGAGAAAACTGCCATGATACCGAATCCAACGTAAAACAACGCCAGAGGATATGCTACCAAGCCGCGCATATTCGTCATCCTCCCCACAACACAAAACATGGCTGAGCTGGAATATGTGCACCAGGCAATCGCCAAGCTCACGAGACAGTATCCAAGGAAAGTGTCAAGTGGCAGGGCGACGCCGAGTAGACTTGCGAAGACCAGAGGTAGGAGGCAGTAGCCTAGCACTGAACTTGAGCGTCCGAGCGTGAGTGTGGAGGAGAAGTGTGAGGAGCCATGGTATTGACTGCTCGCGGCGCTGTGGGATTGAATTGCGGCGACTTCGTCGGAGCTGAGGGGTGGGGACATCATGCTGAAGACGAAGTGGAGGCTGAAGGCTCCTAGGGCTGCGAGGCCGCAGACGTAGCCGAACCAGAGTTTGCCGGACTGGAGAGGGTGGTTGGTTAGTTGGGATTGAATATGAGGGCAGAAATGTTGTTTCGACATACCAATAGTAGGAATGTCCCGAATAGTGCGCAGAAGAGAAATGGTCCCGCGAGATCTGCATCGTCCATGATATGTTGATCGATTCGCGCCATGGGATTCAGTACTGTGAGTGTCTGTGCCATGTCCTCGTTAGCTCCTCACGTTCATCATCCTTTTTACTCGTAGACTCCATTGTCTCACCTTCATTTGTATATGCCCAAAATTCACTCCTAACTCTTCTAGCAACGGAGGCTCCCCATCATACCCTTCTGTTCCAAAAGCTGCTAACCATCCTGTCCTCAGCCCTCCTTGTCCTGTGCCCATTTGCCCACTTGCGCCTGGCTGAGCAGGGAAGGCGCCAAAGCCATAATTAGGTGAAGCCCCATAGCCCGATGGTTGCGCTCCTGAGGCTCCATAAGCCTGGAATGGTGTTGATTGACCTGACACGGGAGGCTGATTGCTGTAGCTGGATTGGTAGAAGTTGAGGTTTTGAGATGTGGGTGGGGGTTGGTAGCCGTAGTTGGCCATTTTTGCAGTAGTTTTTGGCGGTTTCAGTATTCGGAGGGACGTGAGGAGGTACGGCTTCGTTACTTTGCAGGTCGGTTGTAGCACACGTTTGTGGTGGTCGATATGCGGGAGCAAGCTGTTGTCTGTTCAAGTTGTTGGGTGGGTCATGTAGCCTGAGGCAGCCAGGGTCCGAAATGTGAGACATTGGTTGTTGGCTTCGCCTTCTCCTTATCGCGACCTCTTTCCTGCTTCCACTGTCTCGACTTCCCACGTCAACTGCTGTCCAAAGACCTCCGCATCGCTTCGTTCACCACAGTATCGAGGCGCCTCGTACAAGTCTGCATGCAGGACCACGTTTCCCAGGCCACGGCGAGCTGCAGATGGCGGCCAGAAGAAACAGGGCCCTGCACGGTTTGCACGATGCAACTACAGGATGAGCCAAATTCCCCACCTGCAGCTCTCGTAACTGTTCGGACTCACGGAGGTCGATGCTAGGTACGCACTGAAGCGCGCAAGATGACAGGCTCAGATCGTCTCGACACTGTTTGCTCGACTTTTGCTGCACGACCTTCCATCACAGAAGTTATGAGCCAACCATGCTGCACGATGCAGTTCGCAATGTGCCTCGCCTTGAGCTCCGAATGGCAGTTGTTCAAGGCATCGCAAGTGGCATGCACCGCAGTACTGATGCAACTGACCATTATAGTGCCTGTACCAGAACAGACTTTCAACCCATCTGTGCACCTTGACTCGCCACCCTCTTGTTGCAGCAAGGGACAATTGTGTCAGCGCGACACCTCTTGTCTACTGCTTTAGCCCGAAGAAGTCTTTGGCTCTGAATACTCAGTTGCCTCTGATACTGACCACTCCTCACTGCAAGACTCCAGTCCCGACTGTTCATTATACGCGCCATGGCCTCATACCCCCAAGTTGAGCTCTTTGCCATCGATCCAGCACACCAAAGCGCGTCGAGCGCCAAGTCTCAGTCTGCTAGCATATTGCAGAGCTCGACCGCAAAGCTCATCACCGAGCCTCCACTCAGCGATGTTCGATCACCAGAGCCGCGAAAGATTTCCAAGTTCTTCGCCGTGCTTTTCCAATTGCTTGCATTGTTATGGGTTGGCGGCATTGGCTACCTACTATACGTCAATTTCCAACAACATATCCTCGGAGCAAGTGCATGGTGCACTTTCACCACATGTTTTCCCCAAATCTGGGCAGAAGATGCAAGCATACCACGGGCGCTTCTGGCAAGGTTTGATCACGATACCCACAACCTGCTTGGTGGTCTTCAACTTGCCGCAAAGGCTGCAGAAATCTGGTTCAACCTCATAGCCGCCTGGCTAGTGTGTCTGAAGACACTCCAACTGGCGCAAAGCCCTGAAGGCCTGCCCATAGGGTACATGTTGAGGCATATCGAGTTTGCGAACACCCTCAGCCTATTTGACAAACTTACGTGGACGACCTCGTCAGCTCACAGGCGTCACGGTAGTCGACACCGACTTTTATTCTACATCTGCCTAACAGGGCTTTTGTGCGTGCTGTGCAATCTGATGGGGCCAGCGGTCGCCGTCCTACTGGTACCATCGCTACAGTGGATAGATACGGAGACAACTGCAACCCAGCGGCTTGACACTTTCTACGCAGGCCAGCCTCCCAGACCAGAGGGACACGCCGTCAACGATTCACTCCGTTCACCAAATGAAAATTGGCATGACTGTATGAATGTAACATATATGCCTCAGGGCTCCTACCACTGCTCTGGGATATGGGCCAACAGCTTAGACGCATGGGTCGAAGCCGTCTTTGCAAGGCAAGGCGGAATCACGCCAGTAGCTTCATCGCAAAACAACATATCGTTCACATACAACAGAACAAATATTGGTCTAACAGAGTCTGGTCAAACAGATCCAAATAGCAACTTTCATGGCCGGGTCTTTTGGGTACCAAGCCGCCAGGTCCTTGCAGACCTGAACGAAGATCTTCTGCTCGTTCAGAACATGTCTCTCGGGGTAACACCATTGAACGACAGCAGATTGAGCTCATTCGCACCATACAATGCTACAGTCTCTACAGTTGTACATCGCATTGCGCCGGCGCTTGGTGCGACATTCGGTCTATGGTTGGAGGTCACCGATACTGCAAGTGCCTCGCCGTTCTACGACATTGAATTGGACGACGATAGAATGGTTCGCTGTTATAAGAATTACGAAAGTCTATCTGCGGAAGACTGTGAAGAGGCATGTGAGGGTTCCACCTCTTATACGAGATGCGTGGAACTGGATCTAGCCAATCGTGCTGCCGGCTTTTGGATTGGTGAGCGTTACATGCAGATTGGGCAGAATTATACTTCGGGGCTCTACACGCGCGTGGATCATTTCGCCTCAGATCGCGCTGCCTTCTTGCCTAACGATACGGTTCCGCATTCTGTCATTGCAGCAGGGTTTGAGCAGAGCTGCTTAGATCCTTTGAAACATGATGTGGCTCATTGCAATTGGGATGCACTCTTCAACATGTCCACACAGAATGCAAGACTCGCCAGTCGCTCCAGGCAGGTGAACACTGTGCATATTACTTGGGATAGCAGGATGAGCGATGGCTTTCACCGGGATCCTGAGATTCTCTTTATAGTAGCCATTGACTTTGCAGCGTATCGGGGTATGGCGAACTATGCACTAGACACGTCAAGGCTTTCCAACCCGCTCATGCAGCTGGATTTCCAACCGCAGATATCTCGAAACAGACATGATGGATTCGATCCTCAGTCAATTGCAATTAACCCGAACTGGACGCTGGCAGCCTGGGCTGCAGACTACAGTAGCGCAGACCAGAATCCAGTCACGCAAAGACCGGACACGCTGGACGTTACACGTGCAGCACCTGCCAGACTGCAGAGGTTCTTTGAAATGTTTTATAGCGGTGAATACAGCGACTGGAATCTCAAGCATGGCTTTACAGACTGGACCGAATCACTCTTCCTGGTACCTATTATGCAAATGCTCAGCATTGTTGAATTGTATTCTCGTAGGCACTCGTCGGATAGGTATAACGCAGTAGAAGTAGAGACAATAAGTAGGAACCAACCGAGTTGATTATGTTGGTTAGTTACAGGTTGCATCTTACTCCTGAGATAGGCATCAGCTGGGTCATGTGACCTAGTGTCACATGACCTATGTCACCTGATCCTGATCCCCAAAGTGTCTCTCAGAATGTCCAACTGGACTGCACTTTCCAACAAGCATCATTGATTTTGAGCCCATGGAAGCCGGCCCCATTGATCATGTGGACACCGAAAGACCACTTATCAAGCAGTATGGAAGCATTCGTGTCTGGGCATACGGGATTACCTCTCGCACAGGATGGCTTGGTGTCATTGTGACTGGCTGCGGGTGCCTCGTTGTGCTATATGAAGTTTACGTTGGCCTTAGGGATCGCCGACAATTTCGATCGCCGACACAAATCCTGATTTCTGCGCTGGAACACAATTTGAATGGCGAGTTCGATGGTCTGCGGAAGGAGAAGGACGTTGCAAGAGTCTCGTTCCGACTTGAGGACGACTATTTCTCGCCCGGCGGGCTTCGCTTCGAGAGAGCGCGCTGATTTCTGATCATCATTCCAACTTTATCAACCTTTCAGTACCCATTGGGTATCAAAGGCGGCCAGGAGCTACAGGGTAAGCGTGAGGCCGCCGAATAAGATGGTCGGAGCACATGCTCTATCTGTTTGACACATGCCGGCCCATGTGAAAGACGTACTTAAGGAACGACTTTGGAGGCAAGAATTGCTAACATTTCTTTCAGCGTGGATATCGGATAGTGATGATAATACACACATGACTCAATCGAATTTCATTTCGCACACAGGTTTTGAGGTTCCTGGCAGTGTGCGACGAGCCTCGCAGAAGGATCATACTCAAAACAACATGCTCCTGCGATAGCCATCGCTTACTGCAGAGCAGCCATTCATGAAAAGCCATAGATTTTGAATACTGAATTGAATATTCAAATTCAATTCAAATTCAGAGTTGAATTGAATATAAATCCGGCTTTTTGAATACTCAAATTCAAATTCAATTCAAAGCTTGTACTAAAAATAGTGCTCTCGGCGG